CCTTACCTTCCACCTGGACATCCTACAGCCCAGAGGACCCAACATTGAGTCCTCCAATTTCAAATAACCTTCCTACCCATCCCCCTGCTCCCTTTCTGGTCCCACCTCCTCCCTTTCATTTCACCTACTGACCCTCCCTTCCAGTTACTGACTGGATTCATTCCTCACATCGACCAACCAGTGTTCACCTATCACCACCATTCCATTAGCCCCTCTCCCCTTCCCACCCCTCTCTTTATCTGCAGCACCCCCTAACCCACATACAGTCCTCAAGAAGGGTAATACCCAAAATGCTGACTTCTCACTTCCTCCAGACGCTGCCTGGCTTGCAATGTTCTTCCAGCCTCCTGCTTGTCTACTTTAGAGGTGGAGGGCCTTTCCACCTCTGGAGTGTCCTGAGAGGAGACGTCTGAGGGGCCTGTCTGTTGTTCTCCTCTGGCTGGGTACCTCCTGACATTGCCCTGTCTCCTTGTGAGGATGTGGGGCACCTGCAGTGTTCACCAGCTCCCGGTTCCCCCTGTTAGCATGTCTTTGGACATGGGGCCCACTGACCTGGGAAACAGAGTGCAGGCATGTGGCTTTCTAGCAGACCCTGAGGATGCTGGGGCTGTCTCTCCATGACAGCCACCAACCTGTCCTGGAGGTAGCTGGATAGTTGTATGCATGAACAGAAGTGTCTCCATCATGTAAGTGCACTCCCACAGCCTCTGAACAATGAAACCCATTGTCTCCCCCATTACTATCTGCCTCTCCTCTTCCTTTCTGTGCATGTGGATGAAGACTGCAATTGCTGACAACATTGGGTATTCTCCTGCAAGGGATGGAGCAGATGCTTGGTCTCCTGTAGTCCACTGAAAGCCAGTGACCTGGGGGCATTCTATCTTTGGCCAGCTGTAGAGACGTGGCAGTGAGGTGCTCACCAGCTGCTCCCAGACTTTCTGAAGCTAATAGGAGTCACTATCTGAGCTGGTGCTGGGAGCAGGAGCAGCCTTGTCAATGCTTCCCCTGGGGCCTCTGTACTTACATCCTCAGAGTTTCAGGAGATGGCTTTTGAGGGAGCAGGTCACTTCCCTGCAGAGGTAATGGTCATCCCACTGAAAATTGCAAGATTAAAGTTAAGGCACCACGGCCAGTGCTTAGAAGTGTCGTAGAATAAATGAGAGTGACAGTAGTGTTACTGTGACAGTTGCAGTGAAATGAACAGTGGTATCTACCTGACTGGCAGGATATAGATATCCTCAGAGGAGTGATCCTGGTTTTCTCCTGTGAGATCCAAGATTATGTTCCTGTAGGGGAGGGAGGAGTTTGATGTTGGGCACCCATTGAGCATTCCTGATCCTTTTTTGCCCGATTGTCATTAGACTAAGAGTAAGGGAGGGATTGAATGATCTGAAAGTCGGGGTGGGGGGCATGCTGTTAATGCTGGTGTAGGCACTAATGATATTACAGCATTTCTAGCGATTGTGGGGAGAGGGAGGCAGAGGATTTGGAAGCAAGTTCGGGCCAACACCCTGACCTAGTTGCCTCAGCTTTGCACAAATTTGTATTTATCAAGGAAACCTCCCTCCCCAGCTGACACCCTGCTTGCACAGGTTACTAAACAGGTATTTTCTAATCAGCCTAGACAGAGATGGTGGGACTTGAACCCAGGTCTCCTGGTTCAGAGATAGGGACACTCCCACTGATAGCCCAGACTAGTGATGGTTCAGGGAAGATGGCTTTCTCTCGTTTCACCTGCAGCTGACATAATTGCAGCCTGTGTGGGATGATGTTCTCAAAAGGATGGTAATTGACCACTGAAGGCTTAACTTTTATCCATGGGCCTTCACAACTAGAATTTAATTTGCTAATTCAATGGTTCTCGAATATTTAGAGTCATAGAGTCACACAGTGCTGAAATAGACCATTTGGTCCAACAAGTGCATGCTGACCATGTTCCCAAACTAAACTAGTCCCACCTGTCTGCGCTTGGTCCATATCCCTCCAAACTTATCCTTTTCATGAACTTATCCAAATGTCTTCTAAACATTGTAACTGTACCTGCATCCGTCACTTTTTCTAGCAGTTCATTCTCTGTGTAAAAAAGTTGCCCTTCTGTCCTTTTTAAATCTTTCTGCTCTCACCTTAAAAATATGTACCCTAGTTTTGAACTCCCCCATCCGAGGGAAATGACTCTGTTAATCACCTTATCAATATCTCTCATGATATTCAATAAGGTCATCCCTGAGCCTTCTATGGTTCCTGTGGAGAAAGGTTCCAATCTTTCCAGTCTATTTTTATAACTCAAACCTGTGGAAATCGATTGCTGAAAGATTTCAGCTAAGTTGGCACATGGCCAAACAGGTAACACCCTGTTCCCCTAATTTGCATGTAAGCATGGATTATGTTTGAAAGAACTGTGTTGTAACCTGATATAATGATTATAATTTGCGGTATTAGTTTCATCTGAAAGTTTGCTGCGTTGTTTACGTACTTCTTTCTCACATAATTTTATTTTTTATGCCATTTTAAAGAATGAGAGAACATTTATACATTCCTGTTCATTTTATAATAAGTGGAAGGGGATTATTTTTTACATTTATACATAATTCACTGAATCTGTAAACCTAGTCAGGTCCATACTTAATAGATTGCAAAACTATACAAGGTTTCTGAAATAACTCCACGAACGATGTTATCCTGTCACCAATTCACCCTTTACTTACTCGTGCATAGTACAAGACACTGACCCAGCTGGCTCATAGAATAAACAGAACCTCTGACACTCCTGTTTATATCTGTCAGCCAGGGCTCCCTGATTGGACCAGGTTAATGGCCCCAATCGAAGAACTCATATTGTTTGAGATCCACCTAGCTGACCTCATTCCAATCGCTACAGTTTCCAGGCCATACTTCCTGCTGGGAATCAATAGAATGTCTGGTCAGTGTTGAAACAAAGCTGGTCACTACTGACCAGGAAACTAAGAATCATTCCTATATTCTTTTCATTCACTGGATGTGGGCATCACTCACTAGGCCAGCATTTATTGCCCATTCTTAATTGCTAGAGGACAGCTGAGAATCTACCACATTGTTTAGGTTTGGAGTCACATGTAGGCCAGATCAGATAAAGATGGCAGATTTTCTTCCCTAAAGGAAGTTAGTGAATCAGTTCATTTTTTCTGACAATCGTTTCTTTTCATCCCTGATTTTTATTGAGTTCAGAATTCACCATCTGGAATGGTGGGATTTGAACTCATGTCCCAAGCATATTAGCCTGGTATTTTGGGTTACTCATCCATTGGCGTTATCACTACGCCACATCCTTTCAGAGATACTGCAATCTCTGCAGAAGAAGATTCTCCTGCAGCCGCGTGGAATGTAATTATTGTCACCTTCACTGGGCATTCCCAGCATGGAGCTGCTGTAAGGCCATCAAGCTGTGCAAGTTACCTTAAAGGATTTTCACAGACTTCCCCAAACCAGTATCGAAAAAAAAACAGCAGACAGAGCAAATCAAAGGTTGAGCTGGAGGTAGAAATTAAAATCTTCTGAAATAACTTTGAAAAAACATCATGAAATGTTTTATAAAAGAAAAACTAGAATACATGGAACAGCGCACTACAGACATGAAATTACTTTCTCAGAACCAGTTCTGTTGATCAGCAAATTGTCTTTCTTTTTATTTATTCATTTGTGGGGTGTGGGCAACGGTGGATGGCCAGCATTTATTGCCTGTCATTAGTTGTCTTGAGAAGGTGGTGGTGAGCGGCCTTCTTGAACCACTGCAGTCCACCTGCTGTAGGTTGCCCCACAATGCCATTAGGGAGGGAATTCCAGGATTTTGACTCAGTGACAGTGAAGGAACGGTGATGTATTTCCAAGTCAGGATTGTAAGTGGCTTGGAGGTAGTGGGGTTCCCTTATATCCACTGCCCTTGTCCTTCTGGATGGAAGTAGTCATGAGTTTGGAAGGTGCTATCTGAGGATCTTTGGTAAATTTCTGCTTCTTAGGTGAATTTCCGAATTACTTGCGTCACTGTTAAAAAAAAGCCATTGCAATCTCTTGAACATGGTACAAGATTTTTATGGGGTTTCTAATCATGGTGTGGGAGCATGGAAGTTGAAATTCTCACTGATTTCCTGATTGCCGACCCTGTGGGGGTGCATGAGAGGATAGAGCGTGGGATTTGAGAGATGGTGGTGATAGAAAGAAAAGTGGGAGATAGTGCTGACTCTGATAGAACCCTGAGTGAAAGGCTGCAAATTTAGAATTTCTACACCTGCCCAACATGCTGACCTTGTAGTGGTCAAGGCATAAAAAGAACTCCCTTGTCCCTTCCCTTTATTTTATTGTACATAGTACAGGATGGCGATTGGTTGAGGGTAGCAGAAATAAGTTAATTACACTAAGCATTTCTCTTGCGGCTCAAGAAAATACAAGCTGGAATATTCACATTTTCAATCCAAAAGACCTGTGGCCTGCTGAATGAAGAATCTTTTAATTGTCCAGACGGCGGTTAAGAGTCAACCACATTGTTGTGGACTGCAGTTACATGTAGGCCAGACCAGGTAAAGGTGGCACGTTCCTTCCCTAAAGGACGTTAGTGAGCCAGATGGGGTTTTCTGACAATTAGCAATGGATTCATGGTCATTGTTAGATTCTTAATTGCAGATTATTTCTATTGAATTCAAATCCCACCATCTGCTGTGGCAGGATTTTAACTTGCGTACCCAGAACATTACCTGGGTCTCTGGATTAACAGTCCAGTGATAATGTCACTTGGCTGTTGCCTCATACCTTTCTGATTTCAGGATAATGGACAGGGGAACATGGAAGACTGAAATGAAGGGCGAGTGTGGATCTATCCCGAGCCTGGTTCCAATCCTTTGGTTTTGTACAAATAATGTTGAAGAAACCTGTCTCTGCGTCATCAGTAATCCTCCACCCTCCATGCTGGCAGCTTGCCTGCACTGGCGAAACAGTCAATAGCGCAAATTGATGCATCACTTGTTTGTGATTTGAAAACCAAGTCTAATCTTTCACTCTTCCTGTAGAGCTTCATTAACATGGGGTTGGCAATATATGCCTTGTTGCTTTTCTTCTCAGCAGTAAGTACTAGTTTACTTTATATATCATTCATTTTTAATGGCAAATAATGCATCTTTACAGACATATGTCAAAATAGATTTAATAAATTTGAAGCAGAGTTTGTATGTAAATGCTTTGTGCAGTGATTTTATGATATATTTTATTTGTAGAAACACGCTGTGTCATGTAAACAACACATTTTAGTATCACTGATGCTCAAAATATTTTTTGAACAGTTAGTACAGGATGGTAAGGAGAAACATGTTTTATGTAGGAAGATTGTATTCAGTTTTAGGATATTCCAACGTTACCTTTTTCATGTGTTCCTTGTAATCCGTGGTATAAAGGTACAAACACAGGACCAAGCCAGCATATGTTACACAAGATGTTTATCAAACTAGAGTGCGTGTCTTTTGTTACAAGTTTTGAAATTAGATCTTCTTTGGAATTAGATAAGAATGATTAACAGTTTTGCTTCACTACTATCTTCTAATAACTGTAGGTTTTTCAAATAAAAATACATTTCAAAATATTTAAAATGAAGGAAACAAAGAGCATTTTAAATGAGGCCAATTTTCTTACTTCATACTTTTGAGTTTGGTTTGTGAGGAGCACATATCCAAATGTTCTCAAGAATTTAGTTTTTGATGTTTGATTGTAAAGTTCTGCTCATTCGTGTATCATATATACAACCATCAGACATGGTTTCCTGCAGGCAATGCACTGTCTGAAGATTATTCTTCTTCTTTACGCAGGCAAATTTATTTTTAGGATATGAAAGATTTCTCTTTTTGTTTATTGTTGCACTGGCAATTACACTTTGAATATTAACTATTCCACACAAAGACCATAGAAAACAAGGGAACAAATTCTAACAGTGAAATCCTCTTGAGTTTTTGTTTTACAATATTTCATGTGTCTATTGTACTTACATGAAGATATTGTTATGTATTTTTATATATTCTTTACCTGCTACATGAACTTGAGTCGTCGAGAAACACTGAAACTACGTCTCATTAAAACCTCATAAAACTAAGTCAATTACAAAATTGGTAGAAAATAACCGTCAGAAAATTTGACCATTGTATCTTTACTATAATTATCTTATTCCTTGCTTAGTAATCACCATTTTTTGTTTGGTCTGTGGACTAAAACAGGTGGGTAAAGGCACCTCTTTAAGCCAAAAAATCTATGGAAGAAGATTTTGCAGATTTAAAAACAAGTAACTAATGTTGTGGGCTCAGGAGGGCTCAGCATTGCAACAAGCACTTGTTTGGTTCTTGGGCAACTGCCTGTAGGAGAGAAACATGTAACCTACAAAGAGAAAGCTCCTACATTTCTCGCTTGATTTCCCGCGTAGAGAAGTAAGAGAAAATCTCCTGGTGGCTCAGTCGCTATTTTCCTGTGAAGTGCTGTCTCTGCAAATTCCCTTGTTGAATGACAAAGGGGGCAAACGATCTTCAGTCACACTGAAACGACAAATCTTCAAACAGTGAATGAAAGACTGAGAATTAGTATACTTACAGTCTTGCGTCATCATTAAAGAATCAAAAGAAACTGAAAGGAAATTAAAGAAAATAACTCATCAACATCTCAGGTCCGAGCTGACGCTGGAATTCTGTATCTTTGTCCCTTAATCCCCTTGCATAACATTCGTATTTTATCTTGTCTCTTTGTGTTTGCTTGTTAGTGCATGGGGATTTTAAAAGTTTAAATTACAGAGTGATTAGTTAGCAATTCATGATTTTTTTTCCCCCTGCCATTGGTTAAAAACAGCTTGATTGCAATACACAATTATTTTCTTGTTGATGAAAAGCAAAAAAAACGGTATGCTTAGTCATTTAACCTCACTTAAACAGGTAAAATCAGATAATTTGCTGGTTTGATTAAATTTTCACTTTTGCGAAGAATCCCGGAACAGTGGGTCTTGATTTCCAGTGCATTACCGCAATAAGTTGCAACAGCTTCAAAATGTTGTATCTTTTCACGTTTTATTCTGTTGGGCTTAACTGGTTGATTGGTCGTTAACCCCTGACAGCCCAATATTTGACATCGTCCACCCTTTATTGCGGGGTAATAGGTTATTCATCTATGTCAGCAATTAAAATTTCTATTTCATACAAATTCCTTTCACATCTCTAGCTGTGATATAAAGTCTGTACCTTAACTTAGTTTATTGCCACATAATTTGATAGCATAACATTTCACAAGTAAATACTTGCTTTATTTCATCATAATTCTCTGACTGAAAGGAAACTTTCAGAGGGCTCCAGACATTGAAGAATTGCCCAATGGAGCCTTCAATTTCCCAGGCAATTGCTTCGGAATCTGCTATCAAAGGGATTCTGCAGGGTCCCTATATGCAACTCACATCTACCTGGGAATAATTACCAGTGAAAATCTGGGCCATCATTTTTATTTCAATTCTTCTATTTGTTATGTTAACATTTCCAGTTTGAAATGTGGTTTCTTGGATATGACCATCACCAGATGGGCAAGAGAAGCAAGAGATTCCATCCTTTTAGGTTAATTTTTATTTGCTTCGGTTGGTGTTAGTCAGGTGGTAACAGCTGCAAAATGGAGTCAGTTTTCTTTATGTCTGATCGGCATTGATTATGTTGATATTTTGAAAGGATCCTTCTGTCAGGTGTAAAATGCACCTCTCTGTAAGGCAGTATCCTCTGCCAACTTCCAGGAGCTCAATTGCTATTTCTGTTTTGTGCACTGAAGAGGGGCAGATCAGTCCTATGGGTTATAAAGCTGGAGATGCTCAACAAAGTTAAATGTGGAATTGCAGACATGACAACTTTCATATATAGGAATAAAGGAACAGGAGAAGGCCATTCAGTCTCTCGAGCCTATTCCACCATTCAGTAGGGTCATGGCTGATCTTGGCCTAACTCTGTGTACCTACCTTTGGTCTATATGCGTTAACACCTTGGCTTAACAAAAAATGTCTACTGCAGGTTTTATGTAAACAACTGATCTAGCATCAATGGCCATTTGTTGAAGATAGTTCCAAACCTCTAGCACCCTTTGTGTGTTAAACTATTAAACTATGTCCCCTAGTTCTAGAATCTCCAACCAGGGGATATAGTTTTTTATATACCCTGTCTTTTCCTATTACTATATTGACAACTTTGATCAGGTCACCTGTTAACTTTCTAAATTCTGGAAAGAACAGGGCCTAATTTGTTTAATCTCTCCTTATAACTTAATCCCTGAAGTCCAGGAGTCATTCTTGTAAACCAGCTTGTACTCCTCCAATATATCCTTTCTAAAATGTAGTGCCCAGATCTGCTCACAGTGGGGTCTGATTAGGGCTTTGTATACCTGCAGCATAATGTTGGCATCCTTGTATTCCAGTCCTCTAGGTATTATGGTAGCTCTCCATTAGTTTTTGTGATTATTTTTTGCACCAGTCTAGGGCATTTTAAAGATCTATATACCTGAACACCCAAGTCTCTTTGGACATCCGTTGCATTTAACTTCATACTGTGAAGAAAGTACCCAGATCTATCCTTTTTCAATCTAAAATGGATAACCTTACACTTACTTACATTTAAATTCATCACCATCATTTTGTCCATTCACTTCATCTATCAATATCCCTTTGTAAATGTATGTACCATCTATACTATCTACACTGCTACCTACATTTATATCATAAGAAATGTCATGTTTCAGTACTATCATGGGGTCATAGTTTTTACAACATAAAAAAAAAACCTTTTGGCCCATTGTGTATGTGCTGGCCATCAAGTATCTACCTGTTCTAATCCCATTTTCCAGCACTTGGTGCACAGCCTTATAAAATATGGCACGTGCTCAGCTAAATGTTTTGACAGTTCCTGCTTCTACCATCCTTTCAGGTAGTGAATTCCAGATACATTTCTTTTTCCCCTAAACCTTTCTAAACCTGCTATGCCTTGACTCTGGTTACTGACATTTCTAATTAGGAGAAAACTTTATCCCTATCTATGCCCCTTATAACTTTGTAATCATCAATAAAGTATCCCCCTCAGCCTTCCGTGTTCGAAAGAAAACAATCCCAGTCAATCTATTCTTTCTTCATTGCTGGATCACTCCAGCCCAGACAACATTCTGGTGAATCTCCTTTGCACCCTCTCTAGTAGAATCATATTCTTCATGTAGAGTAGTGACTAGGATTTCTCACTGAATTCCACCCGTAGCCTAACTGACATCTTCATCATAACCTCCTTGCTGTTGTATTCAATGGCTTAACTAATAAAGGGTAAGTATCCCAAATGCCTTTTAAACCAACTTATCCACTAGTCTTGCTGTCTTCAAAGGTCTGTAGAAATGTACACCAAAGATCCTTTGATTCTCTGTACTTCCAAATGTCTTACCACTCAACATGTACTCCCTTGCCTTGTTAGTCCTCCCAAAATGCACTTTGCAGGGTTGAATTCCATTTGCTACTGTTTAACCCATCTGACCAGCCCATTGAAATCATTGTATAGTCATAGGCTTTTCTTCTAGCTTTTAGCACACCATAATTTTCATCTCAAATGTGAACTTAGTGAACATACCTCCTACATTCATATCTAAATTGTTTATGTACAAAAGAATCAGAAAGGGATCAAGAACCAAACCCAATGGTATGTTACTGGACATATCTTCCAGTTGCATAAACACCTTTTGAATATCAAACTTTGCCTCCAGCCTCTAAGCCAATTTTGATTCCAATCTGCCAAATTGTCCTGGATCTCATGTGGTCTTAACTGGCTTGTCATGTTTAAAAAATGTATGCTGAAACTTTCAGTGCAATGCATTATCCCCCAGTTGGCCTGTAAATTTAGTAATTTTACAATGTAACAGTATTTTTGGAGTTCCTAATTTAACTTATGCACACAGGTGTTTTCAAGAAGGTCCTTCAATTAGCAAGAAGATGTAAGATTAAGCATTAATCGGGCATAATGTGAGTGGCAAAAATTGATGAGTACAATTTGACAATCAAGTATACTGATTTTTGTTTATTCTAGGGAGGATTTCTAACTGGTTGGGTTTGAAGTAAAATTCATTCTTCAGAGTGGAACCTGCGGAATCTATTCAGCTATTTGACACAGTGATCAATGTTAATGTTAGATATTAAAATGCTAAATATTAAAACTGAATTTTAGGATTTGAGCAGAGTGGGAGCACAACGCTCAGTAGTGTTGCATCGTGAGAAGAGAAGATGGATTTCTGCAACTTTCAAACTTATAGAAGAAGATGTGGGTCCTTTCCCTAAAACAGCAATAAAGGTAGGTATTAATATATGAGGAAAAAGGAAATTCTTTTCTTTACAACTATAACATAGATAATGAAAAGATCTGTCAGTTGGAATATTTTAATGTAATTCATCATTCTAAATTGTGTATTTTGTGTGTTCATAGTTTTATGAGTAAGACCGATGATTGAATTTTTCTAGCTTTATATCTAAGCATTGATTCAATCAATGTCTGACAAATAAATTAGCTTGATATTGGTTATTTAACTTTATTTAATCCTGGTTACTTTCTTGAAGGTATATAACAAACTTATTTTTATAACTGATGTATGCCTTCATTTCTTATTGCATCCAATTTGCTCACTATATATGGGGCAGAACTGTGGTTCAGTGTTTAGCACTACTGCCTCACATTGCCAGGGGCCTGGGTTCAATCCTGGCTTCAGGTAACTGTGTGGATGGAGTTTGTGCATTCTCCCCGTGTCTGCATGGGTTTCCTCCCACAGTCCAAAGATGTGCAGGTTAGGTGGATTGGCCATACTAAATTGCCCATAGAGTTCAGGGATGTGTAGATTAGGTGAGTTATAAGGGATGCTTTGAGGGGCAGTGTGGATATGTTGGGCCAAAGAGCCTACTTCCACACTGTGGGGGTTATTTTAAAAAAAAAAGTCTGGCACTACTCTGGTGCCTTGTTTTGTTGCATTAGTTCTGGAACATTTAAAGATCTTCTGTGTCTTCAGCAGTTTCAACCCTAGCTCTGTGCAGAACATAAACAATGATGTAGGTCAATAAAGCAGACTGGTCTGTTTCTGTCCTTTATATAAGCATGGATTAATTCCATTGATCCCAGTAAATATACAGGTGAAATTCAGATCATAATTCTCCATACCCACCAGAGGATTCTAAGTCATTATAGCAGTGTCTACAATTTAAAAGTCTGGGCTGGTTTGAAAGCTGAGAGGCTTGTAAAATCCAGCGTGTGGTCTTCCCATTGGCTACTCAACTCCACTGTCCTGTCTGAAATTTTATGGGACACAGTGGTGTTGACAGGTGGCCTTCCACCCTTGGACCTCCGATGTCATTAAATGAGCAATTAATAATCATTTAAGGGTCTCCACCTGCCTTTGCTATTATTGTACCTGAGGTGGGGAAGGTCCATGTCATAATGGAATACCAACAGCTTTACCTGCATGGGATGATGTTGAGGGATGTTTTGGGGAAGGGTGGGTATATTCTCCTCTGTGCTAATTGGTGACACTTCTCCTTTCCAAGGTCCTTTACCCTCTCCCTGGTCTGTCAAACATTGTTTGTGTTTTTTTTATATTCTTCCTTCCTCTCTTATTTTTCTGATTTTCTGTCTCCTTCTGTCTTTAACTATCTTGTGTTAGGATCTCAGGATTTTGTTTATTATTGCTTCCTGTGCAGACTGTCCTTTCATTTTTCCCTCGTGGTTTCTTTCTCTCTTTGCCTAATTGCTCTTATTTTTCACTCTCATGGCTTCCTTGTCTCTACAGTTTATTACTCACATGTAATGGCCTTGATTCTCTAGCCCCTTTCTCCAGCTTGGGTTAGGTCAAGAACATAAGAGGCAGACAGGACCTCTCAGTGCAAAAGGGAGAATGTGAAAGGAACAAAAGGCAGGAATTGGGATCTTTCACTACTCTGAAATTCTGGTGTATTTTTTATGAGGCTGAAAGTGCCCAAAAGAAGCTGTGAAATTTGAGCCAAATCGTGAAAATGACATTCTGAAACTTGGCTAAGGATGACAGATATTCTTTGGAAGCATTTCAATAACTATATGTAACATTGTCTGTCTGGCAGTGAGAATGACGCCAGAAAAAAAAAGTCTAAAATGACTTAAACAAACCAGAAAATCCTAGATACACTCAGTAAGTTTGGCAGCGTCTGCAGCAACAAAAACAGAGTTAACATTTCAAGTAAAGTAACCCTTTGTTAGAAGTTTGTGAGAAGAAAATTTACACTTTTATTAAGAAATTTCACAATCAAATACTGAAATGACTATTTAAACTTTATTATATGTAGCAACCAAAATAAGACCCCTCAAGTAAGCAAGTTAAGCCTCACAATCCAACTTAGTTTAACTGATTAATTTTGGAATTTAGCTATGATTCAAACCGGCAGTGTCCGTCTCTGGATATGTCTGGGATTTGATCCTTGTGCAGTGTAGTCATCCAGAATTCTGCTGCTGAAGAATCCAAAGATTGAATTCTTATAGGATTTTCTGTCTTGTTGAGTTTGTGGTGTGGCAATATTTAGGACGCTTCTGAAGTCACCATGCCTGTAGCTTGCTTTCTTATCAGAAGTAAAAGCCAGCTGGTATCTCAACCAAGCTTCTCTGTTCCCTGTTACATTCGGCGTTAGCTGCCTTTTCAAAACACAGCCTGTGCTGCAATTAACTCCTTAAATTCTTCTGTAGGCAATCTTAATTGCCCATATTTCACAAGGCAGCTAGTTATCAAGGAGGTGTTAAAATAGTTTGTTTATTTTGCTTCAACTCCTTTCTCCCAGGGATGGTTAATTGCTTTCAATTCCTTTATAATAGCTTTTCCTTGTCCTTTCATCTTAAGAAACATTTTTTTCCAGAAAGAGTTATTGCTGATTATTTCATGAAGTTCTTAAATGTCTGAAGTTCACAGCATTACATCAGGAAAGACAAAAAGCTTGACATTATGTAGTTCAGTATAGAAAGTGATAATTAGTCACAATTGCAGCTTATTTCCTTCTGCAGGTTTCCAATGACCGGTCACTAAACCATACAGTGCTGTTTTCAATAACAGGCCAGGGTGTGGATGCTGAACCTGAGAGAGGCTTGTTTTCAATTGATAGGCACAGTGGACAAATATACATCCATCACAAAGTTGATCGTGAGAAAACAAAGGAATTAATGGTACAAACTATTGTCATTTGAGTTTCTTTAGCAACAGTTTTGCTGAGTAGCTCAATGTGTGCATATTGAATGCTATATCTTACTTGTATTTGTTCTGAATTGACCAACATAAAAAAGTCCAAGAATTAGAAATCCATGATCCCGCTTCACCATTTTAACAATGCCAGAGAATGAATTGCAATGTGTTGAAATGTGTAACGGTTTCACAAGAAATGTAACAAATTATGGATTTCTCAGTAAGACTAATTTACATAATACATACTTACATTTTTTTTTACAATCTCAGGATGTCCCAGAATGCTTCCCAGCCAATTAAGTACTTTTCGGTTGTAGTCGCTGCTGTAATATAGAAAACGCAGCAGCCAAGTTGATTTTGCACAACGAGCAAATAAGCCAGATAATGTGGTTGCGGTTGTGTTTGTTCTGGGATAAATCATTCCAGAGTATGAGATTTTTGTTTTTCTTCTGTTCCCTGCCTGAAGGCAGGTCAAACTACAGCATCAAGACCTCCACCGCAGGTAGGCCAAGGATGGCCCTGAAACCCCATGGTGTCAGCACCAATGTAATCCACACCAGCTGTCTAGCCAACTGAAACAGCTGGCTTTCCCAAGGTGTCACAGCAACTTGGACAATGTGCAACTTTCAGTTGTAGAGCAGAAATATGAAGAGTGGTAGCAGAGGCTCTAATTTTACTTTCCATTATATAGCTGACCAATAATCTCTCCCACTCATGCTAACTGCCATCGGCATACATTGGAAGAGCTTAATTAAATACTCAACCTGTTTGGCCACATTAAGAATGCAACTTCCTTTGCCATCAAGTCCTAGAATGGAACATGAACTTACAGCTTCTAGCTCAAAGACAAGAATTCTGTCCATTGGACTACAGGCGTCCAAGTATGAGATCCTATAGACCCATTTGAAAGTACACTTAGCCTTAACTTAATGTCTCATTCAAAAAGCAACACTTTGCAACAATACAGCACATTCTAATAGTCTTTTATAACCAGCCTAGATGATATGCCCTTGGCTTTGAGTGGAATTTGAATCCACAGTGTTTCTGACTCAGTGATAAGTAAGTCAATACTGAACTAAGACTAGCATTTGTGAATAAGATGCCTAAGCATAAAAACAGGGAAGTAGATGTAGTGACTGCATTAAAAGCATATATTTAAATAATTTCATGACAACTAAATTAAACATTAAATATATAGCCAAGAAATTTGCTGCTTTCTGACTTTGGTATCTTTTTTTTAACCTAAACAGTAGAAATGATCAATGCCTTATTGATTTAAATTGTATTGTTCTAACTTTTGAATAATAATTAATTCTATCGATTATTTTCCATATTCAGTTTCAAGTCGATGCTCTGGAAAAACACTCTCTGCAACAGCTAGATGAACATATGCTGTATAAAATTGTAGTGATTGATATCAATGACAACACTCCTCAATTCAAAGAAATAAAACCTGTTAATGTATTGGAAAATACAGCTCTAGGTATGATTTTATTTCAAAGTGGATAATTGTTTTTATGTTCTTCTCCATTTATTCAGAATACAAATGGTTGGGCAAGCATGTCTTTATATATAGTTAGCTGGTAATGAATTGGACAAGGACGGGGTTCAGGTGCATAATTCTTTGAAGCTTGCATCACTGGTAGACAGGGTAGTTTAAAAAGCATTTATAACACTTATCTTCATTACTCAGTCCTTTGAGTATAGGAGTTGGGAAGTCATATTGAGGTTATACAGGACATTGTGAGGCTCTTTTGGAGTAATATATAGGAAGAATTTTATTAAGCTACAGAGGGATCTGAAGAGAATTACCAGGATGTTGGCAGATATGGAAGGTTTGAGTTATAAAGAAAGGCTGGATAGGCTGGGGCCATTTTCACTGGAGTGTAGGAGGTTGAGAGGTGACGTTATAAAGATTTATAAAATCATCAGGAGTATAGATAGGGTTAATGGTAGGTGTCTTTTTCCTAGGATGGGGGATTTCAAGATTAGGGGACATATTTTTAAGATGAGAAGAGAGAGATTTAAAAAAGACATGAAGGCAAATTCTTTAAACAGAGGTTGGTTCATGTGCAGAATGAACTCTCTGAGAAAGTGGTGGATGTGGGTACAGTTACAATGTTTAAAATACCCTTAGATAAATACATGAAGAGGAACGGTTTGGAGGGATATGGGCCAGGAACAGGCAAGTTGGACTATTTCAGTTTGGGGATTATGTTTGTCATGGACTGATTGGGCTGAAGGGTCTGTTTCTGTGCTGTTTGACTCTATGACATATATATTCTTTGCTAAAGGACATTAATCTTCTTTATCCAGTCTGGCCTACATGTGAGCTCAGACCATTACTAATGTGATTGACTCTTAACTATCTTCTGAAGTGGCCTATCAAGCCACTCAGTTCAAAAGCAGTTAGGCATGGGCAACAAATTAAAGAATGGGAAAAGGCTGAGGGTGACCTAATAGAGCTCTTTAACATTATGAAAGTTTTTGATTCAGAGAATGCAGAGAGAATGGATTAGATTTAATGAGGTGCTAGAGTACTTGGTCTCTCTGATGATAATGTCAAAGACAAGCTCATCCCTGCGCTGGCACCTAAGACTGAAGCTATTTACATTTAGAGGGACTTTAATCAAATTAATGCAAGTTTTCTGCATCTTTCTAGGCAGAAAGTCCCACCACTGAGGGCTAATCAAATAGTTGGGAGCTCTCCAGCCCCAGCGCATGGGATTGGTGACCACTGTTGGCTCTACAGCAGTCCCAAGCACTAAGGAGTCAGAGATGGAATGAAAGATGAATGGGTGGGAAATTTAAATTACTGTGAGATCAATGATAGGTGGTTAGGCAGCAGGATTAATGCTCATGGTATTATCCGGGCACCCTACCTTTAAGCCCGAATAACCAGCCCAGTGCTTTTACTTAAGTGGACAACGTATCTAGAAGCCATCAATATAAGCATCATGAAGAAATCCAATAGGGAATGCGGAAAAGTTCTTCTGAATGCCTGGTGAAATTGTGCAGCTTGTTACCACAGGGAAACAAATAATATGTATCAGTTTCAGAGAAGCATTTGGAGGAGATGGGAATAGACTGTTACCATGGTAGACTTAGATGTAAAACAATTGGTGAGGGATAACGGGTGATTTGAATTGCCTGTTTCTGTGTTGTCTATCCTAGACATTCTAAAAATCCTGAAATTTTATAAATGTCTTTCCACTGCATTTGTGAAGGTTTTAGCTTTTCCACAAAGACCACTTTATTCTATTTACATTTATATTGTATGTATTACACCTTTTAGAATGGTCCTGTGAAGTTCAGATCCAGCAAGTTATTTTATGTATAGTCTGTTTTGCAAACAATATAGCCAATTATAGCACACTAACTTACACAACAGGCCAGCAGAATTTCCTTTTTTTTTGAACAGACAAATGGTGCGTACGCACCAATGCAGCACTGCTTCAGAACTTCCCCGAAGATTCAATTTTGGGTTGTCCATTCAAGCTCCAATATGTAACTTGAAACAATAACTCATTCTGTTTAACAAATTCAATTAAAGTGACACCTTTATATGAGTTTGCTTCTGAGCATGCAATGATCACAGCAACTGGTTACACACTGAAAACACAAAAAGTAACATGTGTAAGAAATCTGAGACAAAAAAATGGCCAAGAATGCAACAATCTTCAACATCTGAAAGACAGAGATTAATATTTCAGGAGAAACCCAGCAGGAGGTGAAAGTCAGCCTTGCATCTTCTCTGTCAAATATTGGCCAAGCTTTCCCAATATCTTCTGTTTTAACTAGATGCATCTCTTGTTGCCATGTGATTAGGGCAGTGATAATTTCTGGGCTAAGTCTTAAACAGTGCACTTTTACTCAAATAATTCATATTCTATGCTTTAGGTGAAGAAATCTTGAAGGTGGAAGCAACAGATCCTGATGATGCAAGGATTGGTAATGGAAAAATTTCATATTCAATTGTTTCTCAAAGACCTGCAATCCCATTAAATGTGTTTAATATTAATTCAGAAACTGGATCCATCATTCTTGAAAAATGTCTGGACTATGAGGTATATATTATGCATGAATCATATGATTATGCAGGAAATTGTTACTTTTGTAAATCACAAAAACATTCAAAATATAAAATAACTTTAATATAAGAAATTGCATGTTGATTAGAAGTCATGCTGTTACAGTAATCACAATTTCATCATATCAGCCATGATCTCATTTGAGTGATGTAACAGGCACAAGTGGTTAAATGTCCATATGTTCTTTGGTATTTGTAAGCCCTTTTATCAAATGTAATGCTAATGACCTAAGTATTTGGTAGGATTTAATGTCCTCTCCAGGAACAGGTTGGCAGGTGGGGCATTGACATAAAATCTGATGCCATGATGGTAGTGCCATTTGACCTGCAGCGGGACAGGTGTCAGGTGACCCAGCTCCTAAGGAAGAATTGAGGGGTCTCTCCCACAGATACACAGGCCAAATAACAAGGACCCTATATTGCTACTTAGTTGAGGAGGTGAGAAGGGAGCTTTTCCTATTTGGCCACCATGTGCTTACAGGAGACCACTCTTAAAGTATTTCCTTCTCCACACACTGCAACACCCTCATTCTCCCATCACCCACCCCACTCCTTTTCTGCAGAACACAGCTCTCCCAGCTCTCTCGTTGGGGCTTCCCACCCTGATCCCCCCTGAAATGCCATTTCACAATTGCCACAGGTGCTGTGCGGATACTGGAGACAGAAAGTATTCATGGTCCTGGATACCTAAATTGCTTGGAATCTTCAAATCTTCTGACCATAAATAAATCAACACCAATACACCAAGGTCTATTTCCCTGATGACCAAGTCCATTCATCAGATTGGCCCAAAAGGGAAAAACTGGAAACTGGGACATGTGAACCGTTTTTACGAGATTGTCAGGATATTGGGGCATTTAACAACAATCTGAAGTTGTCCTGGTAAACAGAGGTGACCAATCATCCAGTCTACAGCTTCCTGAGTGTTAAATCAAACATAGGTCTTGAAAAACAGATACATTTACATTTTCTGGAATAGGTTTCAGGAACTCTTTAGGGTTCAAGGGATTTTGACTGTCATGCACTCTCCCACCAACCTCCCCACACTCCAGATCCAGGCACAAGTCCCTGTGGGGCTATGGTGGATTCTTCTGCCTATGTCCTTTAGCATATTTCATGTCTTTTGGTTCCCCATATGCGAAGAAGAGGGAACACCAAGGGTGAAATAAGTTGAAGTTGAGATAAATCCTCGTCCCTCTTCAAAAATTCTCTGAATGCTATGATTCCTGATTTTCCAGCAGCCTCCGGACTGTATTTCACATAGTCGCTATTCACTCTGACAGTGGGAGAGCTGAAGTTGTTGAATCAAAGATTTTTCCATTAGGAAGTGGTGATAAAATGGGCAGGAGATGCACTCTGGTGGTAAATTGAAACTGTTGCGCCCTTCGGGCTGTCGGAAGCAGCATTTGGGAAAAGAACCACTGATTCTGCAAAAATCCTGATCATTCCAGGAGACGTGGGAGCTGTAGCAGGAGAGTCAGAAATATGCACAATTGATCGAATCACCTGGTATCCTTGTGAAATCAGCAGGAGCTCCTTCAGAAACTTCTAAAAGAATTTGGAGGAGAAAGTAGACTCTTCTATTCATGTTCCAGTCCAAAACTGTAAAGAGCAGGGGTCCCCTCTTTTGGACAATGTGTTGGGAGGCTAACTCTGTCTATTTTCCTGGGTCAGCCATCATTTGGCACGAAGGGCAGGATTGGAGAGGAGGTCTTATGTGCTGAAATGGTAATTGAGAAAGTATTTACAACATTGGAATCCCAGAAGAAACTACTGGAGGCTAAAGGATGGACAAATTCTTGATTTTGTAGGCATTGTCAGAAACTGAGGACATTTAAATAAATGGGGTCAAATTGGAGGAGATGGAAGGCCTAAGGATTATATCCTTTCCACCTATACAATACAGGTTCCCATTATAACTACCTAGGATCCATACTCATATTGCACTGGATGGCCCCGGGGAGACATGGTCATGGGGGTAGTTTGTAGATAAGTGGGCCAGAACTCAGCCTTTGGCAGGATTTATTTGCGCTGAATGAGGGAACAGTCAGCATCACTCCTGCCAGGTAAAAAGGGAAAAAACAAATCTCTAGGCAACGGGGTGGGGCAGTCTGCATTTGAGCTTATTTTCTGCCACTATTTACGTCAAATTCATTGGGTTGGGGTAGGGGAGGAGGGGTACAGAGGGGAATTGTAGGGGAAGTTCAGCCTTGTGTCCTATATTTATTATGTTTGGATGATGCTTACACAGTAAATCAACGATGAGGATGAACTCAAAATATTAAACCTTATGCAGTCTTGGAGTTTAAAAAGGCTAAGGAGTTTAATGCAAAACAAGACAAATGTATTCCAGCTCCTGCAACAGTTAGGCTTGTAATTACTTCTTTTATTGGTAAGAAGTTGATGATTTTTCTTTCTACAAAACATCATTTATGTTTTTTGACTGACTATTATGTTTGTTTTAGGCCATTAAATCATACTCTTTGGTCATTAAAGCAAGAGATAACGGATTGCAAGTATTGTCGTCCAGTACAGTAGTACAGATAAATGTGACAGATGCCAACAATAATCTTCCAGTTTTAACTCAGAAAAGTGTAAGTACATTTTAACATTTTATCCCTGGTGGGAGCATTGTGCTAAGGGATTTTTAATCTTGAAGAAAAGGTATTTCTTGGGCAGAGATGGAATTAAATGTATTGTTCTTTCAATTGCAACCCAGCTCGAATGCAATTATGAAAGATAAAAAAAAACTGAATGTACTTCAGATGCTGGAAATCGGAAACAGAAACAGAAATTTCTTGAAAAGCTCAGCAGGTCTGACAGCATCTGTGGAGACAGAAAGCAGAATTAATGTTTTGGGTCCAGTGACCCTTCTTCAGAACTGATGGTAGCTAGGAAAAAGTTGGTATTCATACAGAGGGTGGCTGGGGGTAGAATGAGGAGTAAATAATAGGTGGGGATAGAGCTCAAAGAGAATGAAACAAAGTTGGACAGACGAAGGTAAAGGTCAGCCTAGGAGAATGAATAGCTGCTAATAGGGACTATTAGTAGCTGACAATGGGTTGTGTACGGTGGCAGCCAATGTGATGACAAGGCCTGGTGTGTTAGGATTTGGGTAAGGATACGGGATAAGATGCTCAAGCTCTAAAATTATTGATCTCAGTATTGAATCCAAAAATCTGAAGATTTCCCAAGCAGAAAATGCAGTGCTGTTCTTCCATCTGCTGCATAAATATCAGCCTTTTCCTAGCTACCATCAGTTCTGAAGAAGGGTCACCATACCTGAAACTTTAATTCTGCTCTACCTCCACAGATGCTGCCAGACCTGCTGAGTTTGTCCAGAAATTGCTGTTTTGTTTCTGATGCAAATACTTCTGAGTTTATGGGATGCACATTTGGATGTCTTCAGAGCATACTGACTGAAGTAAGGAATTGAATTATTGCAGGTGGACGAGGATATAATTTTTCAATTGAAGTCGGATGGTTTTACTTTTAATAAGTATTGTCTCCAAATGCCTTTTAGTAAGCGCCAAAGGAAGTTCTCAGCCTACGTTCAATGCTGTATTGTTAATTTCATCTCCCTTGCTCTGCCAAAAAACACCTCCTCTGGTCAGCTATGCCCTTCCATATTTTCCAGCTGCCATCCACTTTCAGTTCATCAATGCTTCCTTTGTGCCATGTGGTTTTCACATCACAGTGTGTTTCCAATCATCGGATAAAAGCGAATACTACCTTCAAACCTAGAAACTGTCCCCGCTGTCTCTCTCTTTCTGCTTCACCATATAAAATGCAACCACTCATATTTCTCTCTATGGCTGTGTGTTTATCTTCAAATCTGATTTCATTGCCATCACAATATCATAAATCATTACATTTTTATTCTGTGGGTTGGAATAATTCCAAACCAAACTGAAGTCTCAATCATTCCTATTGACCTGTTACGTGCCTAAAATGTATCAGGAGTGCACAAGAATGACATCAATGCCTCAAGCATGCATATACTTCTCCTTCAATAGCACATCCACTAGAGTCTCCTGAAAGCGTACTGCATATACTCCTCAGTGTCACGAAACACAGCCTTTAAATGTAGCCATTTGTGTGGTCAGGTAATGCCTTTGACCATTTTGAGTCACTTTGTTATATTCCATTTGAAACCCATTCAGTCCATAAAAGTCTCAGGTCTCAGATGTTGAAAATCAAAAATCAGCAGTCCATTTTTCATATCATCATCATAATAAGGCAGCTAAAAGTGTTTGAGGTTAGTTCTGAAGAGGAAGACTTCAACACCCACAGCATCAACAACAAACTGTGTTGAGATCAGCACATGAACAGGAGAGAGTCGAAGACAGGGACACAGTTGAGAAAAGTTGCATAAGACAAGGGCGAATGTCACATTAGGCACAGGAATTTACAGACAGAAGCTTCCTTGAAGGGCAGTGCTTTCAGTGCTAGGTTTGTTATGTCAGCTGATGGCTGACATCTGCAGACCCTGGAAGTCTTTCTCTTGACCTGGCAGACGCATGTTAGATTGGCTGACAATCAATACTGCCCTCAATTTATTGCTTCTGGTTCCTTCCTTGCACTGAAGGAAACATGTTAAGAATATCACAATCCATTGTACAAAAAGACACATGGCAGGTAATGGGTGAATGGTGATGCAAGGATTGGCAGACATCATTGTGACAACAGCCAGAAAATGGATTATATGGAACTAGTAAAAAAAAACAAAACTTGACACACACATACCATTGGTGAATTTCAATTTTTTCAACTAACATTTTCTACTGCTCCTACCTGCCATATCTTAGTGCTTTCACTAGGGGGAGCTGTAGGCACAGGGTGCTGTGGTCCTGTATTTGTTCTAATTGTTTTTTTTCCTGCATGGACTGCCAATGTCAATGCACAGCAGCAACCTCTGGAAGCAGAGGCCAGTGCATCGGAATGCCAGTTGGAGTGGATTGTTCAAGCTGTTGTCTGGCCGTGTGGTCACAGAGCTTAAAGGGAACATTGGCATAGTGAGGTAACAAGGTGTAGAACTGGATGAACACAGCAGGCCAAGCAGCATCAGAGGAGCAGGAAGGCTGAAGTTTCGGGCCTAGACCCCATAGTGACACAGTTACTAGGTGTAACCCAGAGGCCCTAGATAATATTTTGCAACTCAAGCCCAAATTCCATCACAACTGCTACTTAATGAATAAATTTGAATTAAAAACTAGTTTGGTGATAGTGACCATGAAACTACTGGATTTTCATAAAAATTCATTTGGTTCACCAATACCTTTAAATGGTCTGAGTACATGTGGCGCACAATAAGGTTCATTCACAATGTAATTTAGCAGCTCTAAACTAGGAACCCATGGGACACTGTAGGCCATCTGCAATGGCACAATTGCATTCAACTACATTATATAAGCTCCTGATTTACCATTATTAACAAGCCAGGAAACCAACTGTTTTAATAAAGAGTGTAAGTTCGCATTACAGGAAAAGCACCAGGCATACCTAAAATTGAGGTGTCAACTGATGAAGCTTCAATATGGGATTACGTGCATTCTGCTCCCATTATTTCTTATGTGATAGAAAGAGCTAAGACATTCAAAAAAGGATCAGATCAAAACACTGCATTTCCTGCTACATCCCATTGATAATGTTAGTGGATGGAACATTGAAGCAAAGGCAGAGGCTCAGACATTTTCCATTCTTAATGGTAGGCATCAATGCACAATATATAGCTGAAAAATGTACCACCCAGAAGTGCTGAGCGGGTGATTCATTTTGGCCTTCGCTTGAAGTCCCAGTATAACCTTCTGACAATAGAAGTAAAGACTTCTGTTGCACATGTAGCTACGTCTTGAGATTATTTGTTCCAGTACAGCTACAGCACTGGCAATTACGAAACAAAAACTAACAATATCTGTTAGCACAAAAAGCAGGACAAACCCAACCCAGGTAAATACCACCATCAATCTAACTTCAATCATCAGTAACTCAATGGAAGGATCATCAACAAGTGCCTTCAAGCAGCTCTTAATTAGTAACAATCCAAACACGGATGTTCAGTTTTGGTTCAGCCAGGGCATTCAGCTCCTGACCTGAATGAACACTCATTGTACAAACACCAATAAAAGAGTCAAATTCTAGAGGTGAAGTGAATGAGAGTGCCCTTGATATTAAGGCAACACTTGACTGAATTTGGCATTAGGAATCCCTTGTAATGTTAAAGTCAATAGGGATATTTGGGGAAATTCTTCACTGTTTGCCGTGACACAAAGAAGATGTTGGGGTGACATGGTGGGTCAGTGGTTTGCCTCACAGTGCGGGGGACGCGGGTTCAATTCAGACTTGGGCAGCTGTCCATGTGGGGTTTGCATATTCTGTGTGAGTTTCCTCTGGGTGCTCCGGTTTCTTCCTGCAGTCCAAAGATGTACACGTTTGGTGGATTAGTTGTGCTAAATTGTCCATAGTGTCCAGGGATGTGCAGGATAGGTAGATTAGATATGGGAAATGCAAAGAAAGCGTAAGAGGCTGGGTCTGGATGGGATGCTTTAGAGGATCAGTGCAGAGACCATGAGCTGAATTACTTCTTTCTGTACTGTATGGATTTTATGCTCATAGTTACTGGAGACCAATCTGCTTAGCTCCGAGACATTGCTTCAGGAATTAGTCAAAATGGTGTATTATGGCCAGTGAGTTTTCCTCTATCACAAGGAAAGATGTGAAAATGTTTCCTGGTGATTTTCAGAGTGTTCAGTGCCACTCATAACTCTTCAGATGTTGAAGTACTCTCTATCCAAATGCATAAAAACTCAGATAAAATTCAAATTTGGGCTGATGAGTGGCAAGTAACGGTTCTGCCACTCTTATGCCAAGTAATGACCAGCTCCAACAGGAGAAAATCTAGGCATCTCCCCTTGACATTCAATGGCATTACCATTGCTGCACCCCCCACTTTTAACATCCTGGGGTTACCCTTGACCATACCCTTAATAGACCAGACATATAAATACTGTGGCTGCAGGAACAGGTCAGAGGCTGGGAACACCATCACCTATAAGTTCCTTTCCATGTCTCACACCAACATGATTTGGAATGATATTGCTGTTCCTTCACTGTCGCTGGGTCAAAATCCCAGAACTCCCTTTCTAATAGTGCAATAGGGGGTACTTACACCAAATGGCTGCAAAAGTTCAAGAAGGAATCTTGTCATCACCTTCTCCCAGATAATCAATATTAGGCAGCAAATGATGGCTTTCCAAGTGACTCTCAAATCCCATGAAAGAGAAAAAAGGTTGCCTACATGTTACCCAGACTATGGAGATGCTTTTGCCTGATGCACTTTGAAATACTCCATCCACTCAACCCAGGAATTCCTTAACAAGCTGAAGAACATTAAAATCAACGACAATGAGATTATGGTATCCTTTGACGTCACAGCACTATTCACGTCCATTAACATACCACTAGTCAAAGAAACACTTGCCACATTACTGGATACAGCAGGAACACCATCAGCAGGGACAACATGCATTGGCAGTCTGAGCCATAGTGGAAACAATGTAACCTGATCATTGTCATATGGTCTTCTTCCTCTCCACCACAACGAGTAATGAAGAGTGCACCTAGCATACTATCCAGTACCTCACTTTGCTTCTGATACATCTTTAGGATTCTACTTCTCAACAATAATCTTAGTTGTTCAGCAACTGTGTCTTAGCTGAATACAGCTAAGATTGGAGCTCCTAACTCTCTGTAACTCTAGCCTTGAATGAATCCATATGCTTACTTGTGGGGAATGACTCACTAGGTGAAAATGCAGCTAACTGTTTAGGTGCTGGTGTTTGCTGTGTGACATGGCTATATATCCTGTGATGTTGCATACTCAATAAATGACTAGTCTGCTCAATCAGCATGCATTTCCTGTAATGTTTTTGTGAAAATCAGGCCTGAAAGATAGAGGAAAGGATATAATTTAGTCATAACAAAGTACCAATCTTGACAGTTACCATATTCAGCTATCAATGTAGTGCCATCATTAACAAAATAATGCCAGAGATATTTCAATGCTGTTAGCATTTATTTGTGAGTGCCCTGTTTTCCATCTATGACTGAGGATATAAATGCATTTATCTCTATGGTCCCTTCTACTGGATTTCTGGTTTTACCAATGCACTTTCCCTCTCTTTAACAAAAATGCAAGTGAGTCAAGGTGAACTATTCACCCAATGGATTGTGTCGCCCAATGCATTTGTTGGGGGATAAAGCACATTTTGTTAGGGGACCAGAGTGTGGGTGGCAACAGTGAATGGGTAAATGATGAAGCAATGATGTGTATACAAAGTGAAAGTTAGGTATTGCTGGACATTGAGTATAATTAGTGACGTAATCGAATAAGCTAACAAGAGAGAATAGAGGACTTAAACCACAAAAGATGATTTGTATTTGCTTTGCCTCATAGAGTTAAGCCAAACTGTTTCCTACATTGAACTCAATACTATGTGCAACAGTACTGCTGTTGACCTCCTTATTCAGTTGTGATTACAGATTCTGACTCATTGATTTGACTTCCAGTTTGTATCTACTGTAAAAGTACAGAACTTCGCTGTGTAGGTTGCAGCAGCCTGACGAAATTTTAGAATTGACCATCTTTTATTTACTAGTATGCTTGAGGTTGACTGATATTTCAAAGAAAAATAAACCTGCTGAATGTTGAAAGCTGTTTTTCAAAGTTAAGAATGAATAGTTAGCACCTACTGACGTGATAGGCTTTGCCAGTCTGTCAGGACCTGACGAAACAGTCAACCATATTACAAAGCTGTATAGCTGTTTCAATTCACTTTGCCTAATTAAAATTCTTGCTGGGATGCAAAAGTGAATTGAGTTTGGGTTTTAATTAACTACTTTCTGTTTCAATTGTCTGATAAGATAGAAGAACAGTGGGACTAAAAAGGCATTGTGAACTATTCTAATCATAAGCAATTGGATACTCCATCCACTCAACCCAGGAATTCCTTAACAAGCTCAAGAACATTAAAATCAATGACAACGAGATTATGGTATCCTTTGACATCACAGCACTATTCACGTTCATTAACATACCACTAGTCAAAGAAACACTTGCCACATTACTGGATACAGCAGGAACACCGTCAGCAAGGACAACATACTCAAGAGTACTGGACCTATGCCTCACCACACACTTCATCTTTAACAGCCAAACATACAAACAAATCAATGCCACACCTATGGGGTCACCCATCTCAGGACTTATTGCAAAAGACTGGAAGGCACTACCCTCCCCCTCATAAAGCCAAAATTGTGGATCCAAGACAACATGTTTGTCATCATTAAATGCACCAAGTTAGAAGAAACACACCATTTCATCAACAACATTTTCACCGGGATCAAATTTACGAGAGAAGAGGATGACAACAATCAACTTCCGTTCTTAGATATTAGGGTAAAATGAATGACCAATGGGGAGTTCCAAACCACAGTATATAGGAAGGCAACTCACGCCGACCAAATCCTCAATTTGCACAGCAATCACCCCAACATCCACAAACAAAGCTATTCAAATGAGCCACAACACACTGCAACACGCCAGAACTATGCAGGAAGGAGGAAGAGTGCCTATACAAGGTATTTGCTAACAACAGATATCCCAACAACTTCATCCACAGGTACCTACTGGATAGACAACACCAAGAGGACACAGTATGCCCCAAGGCACCGGTCACATTACCCTATATCAAGAACATATCAGAACTGACAACAAGACTCTTACTGTCGCTGGGAATCATGGTGGCACACAAACCCACAGCCACGCTATGACAAACACTCACAAGGACAAAAGATCTCATACCCATGACAAGCAGGACCAATGTAGTTTACAAAATACCTTGCAATGACTGCAACAAACATTACATCGGCCAGACCAGAAGGAAACTAGCCATCAGGATACATGAACACTAGCTAGAAGCAAAAAGACACAACAAACTTTCCCTCATCTCAGTGCACCTGGACAATGAAAACCATCGATTTAACTGGGACAAGGTGACCATCCTAGCTGACGCCAACCACAGACATGCACGAGAATTCCTAGAGGCTTGGTTTTCAACCCATAATGCAATCAACAAACATGTGGGATTAAACCCCATATACAAATCCTTGCAAAAAAGAACCAGAAATGACACAACCCAACTTAACAGACCAGATATATAAATTCCAAGCGGAGTAGAACAACATTACTTCATGGGAAGCCGCACAGATGATGTTACCAAGTTTGGTGATGAAATGTCTGTATGATAACCAGCCAGCTTGATGAGCAAACCAACAACCACATCCATAACCCGAGCTACAAATCTTCACATGAAACTTACTTACACCATTAAATTCCACCACCCCCAGCTCATCATTCAAAAGGCACATTCACATTAATAGCAACTCCAAAGTGAAGATTAATGTTTACTGTGAAAATTGCTGTGGATTTGGACAATAATACATAAGCGGACAACAGTATCTACTGGCCAGTAACTCCATAGCGCAATGGAGAGCTTTAGCTACTAGATTATACTACTGGCTCTCAACTGATATTTGATCAGGCGTAGTTCTGTACAGGAGACCACTCATCAGTGTCCAAATTTACAAATTTAGTTATACTAATGAGATGATGTGACAGTTTAACTTGTCACCAATAATAAATAGGTTGAGAGCAGAAGTTAAAAATTATGTTAAAGACTGAATGCACAACTACAAGGGCTGTTTAAGAATACCTCCACCAACAGTCTGGAAACTTTGACATACAATAGAATCTTACAGCATCTTGTCAAATGTGTTGTGTGTTCATGGCCATTCATTTATCTCCCTTTGAAGTATTTATTCAGTTCCTGCTTAGAAATTATAAGTTCGCTATCATTATTGTTTGAGGCAACAAATTCTGCATCATAAATCACTGCATAAATAAGTTCTCCTCATTACATTACTGTCTCTTTTACCAATTATTTAAATCTTGACCCCAAGAAAACAGTCCCCTTGCCACTGGAACAACAAGGTGTAGAGCTGGATGAACACAGCAGGCCAAGCAGCATCAGAGGAGTAAGAAGGCTGACGTTTCGGGCTTAGACCCTTCTTCAGATTCTCCAGCATCTGCAGTTCCGACTAACTCTGAAACAATTTTAACCCCCTTGCCACTGGAACCAGTTTCTCTTTATTTGCAACATCAAAGCACTCCATGATTTTGAAAACCTTTAATTAATATCAACTTAACTTTCCGCACTCTAAGCAAAATAATTTCAGCTTTACTAGTTTTGCCATGTACTCGAAATCCCTCATCTCTGGCACCATTTTAGTAAAGTTCCTTTTTAGCATAACTATTTTGCTAGTAATCTATACCTTCTCCTATGAATCAAGTATTCACTATGCTTATTTAAAAGCCTTATCAATTTGTCCAGCCACCTCCAAAAATTTCTGAATGTAAACCTTTACATCTCCCTGTTTTTGCAGTCCCCTTGAAAATTGATAGGCTTAATTTTATGTATTACAAATTTATATGAAAAGAAAGCTGTTATTATTTCAGATCAATATGACATGTACAGTATAACTGAGAAAAATATTGCAGATTTCCTCTTCTTAAATGAATACAGTAATGTTATTATTTGTTTTCCATAGGTTTCAGCTAATATCAATGAAACGGACAATAATGTGGTGATATTACGAGTAAGTGTTACGGATAAAGACACTTCTTATACACCAGCCTGGAGAGCAAAATACAAGATAATACAAGGGAATGAAGATGAAAATTACAAGATTGAAACAGATCCAGAAACAAATGATGGAATGTTGTTTCTAATAAAGGTATGGCATTTTAATTTGAGATTATTGATTCGATCTTGACTAGATTATTTGGGCTTTTGAAAAGAAAATGGAGGGAACCAAGCCACCATTTATTTGTTTCTTTGAAGACATAAATATTTTATTCGTATTTTCAATTTTTCTGTTGTATGTTTTACTGTTCTTAGTTTATTATTTTCTATATGCCAATTTCATGAGTGAGTTAAATCTCAGTTTGCATCTATTAGGATTTAGTGGTAAGGAAATCCAGATCTGAACTTTGCAGTCAAATTTATGAATCTCTTCCTTGAATCCATCTCCGGAGACATCATAGCTCATTCAAATGCTATACTTATCAGGGCCGGGAGTCATAGAGATGTACAGTATGGAAACAGACCCTTTGGTCCAATTTGTCCATGCCGACCAGATATCGTAGATAAATGTAGTACCATTTGCCAGCATTTGGCCCATTTCCCGCTAAACTCTTCCTATTCATATGCCCATCCATTTTTAAATGTAATTGAACCAGCCTCCACCACTTCCTCAGACAGCTGGTTCCATACATGTACCACCCTCTGCATGAAATAGTTGCCCCTTGGGTCCCTTTTAAACCTTTCCCCTCTCACCTTAAACCTATGCCCTCTAGTTTTTGACTCCAGGGAAAAGACCTTGTCTATTTACCCTATCCATGTCCCTCGAGATTTTATACACCTCTATAAAGTCACCCCTCAGCCTTCAATGCTCCATTGAAAATAACCCCAGCTTATGCAGCCTCTCCCTATAGCTTAAACTCTCCTTCCCTGGCAACATCCTTTTAAATCTTTTCTGAACCCTTTCAAGTTTCACAACATTCTTCCCATAGCAGGGTGACCAGAATTGCACACAACATTCCAAAAGTTCTCCGACATTGTTTTTTTTTATTAATCCAGAAACGCTGTTATGAGCGACAGTTCCTCAACTGTTTCTTGTGTTACTTAACTATTCAACGGGCAACCAACTCTGGTACCTATTGTTCCCAATTGGCCAAAAACTAATTCTAGTAAGTTCAGAATTGAAATTCTTTGTGCATCACTGAATCTGAACTTAAGACTTGAATTTCCAACAATTTTCGGACTTGAGAAGCATGAACTTTCTACTTAACAAAAAGAAAGAAGCTTTAGCCACATAATCAGTTACTTGGACAATAAAATCTAATACATCATGATAAGGTAATGTTTGATTGATTGATTTTTGTCGCAGGTATCGAGATTCAGTGAAACATGTTGTTTTGTGTGGTATACTGGCAGATTGTATCATACAAAGTGCACCAGGTTAGCAGAACAGAGTGCAGAATACAATGTTACAGCCACAGAGAAGATGCAGAGAGAGAGAGAGAGAGAGAGAGAGAGAGATCAGAATTAACATTTGAGGGATCTGCTCAAAAGTCTGATAACAGCAAGAATGAAGCTGTTCTTCAACTTTCTCCGTACATGTATTCAAAATTTTATATCTTCTGCCTGATGGAAGTGGGTGGAAGAAGGTAAAACCAGGGTGGGAGGGGCTATTAATTATATTGGCTGCTTTCCCAAGGCAGAGGGAAGTATAGATGGAGTCAATAGATGGAAGGCTGGTTTGCGTGATGGACTGGGCTGTGTTCATGACCTACTGTAATTTTTTGCAGTCTTGGGAAAAGCAGTTGCCATACCACACTGTGAAGCATCCAGATAGGATACTTTCTATGGTGCATCTATAAAAATTAATAACAATTCTTGTGAACGTGCCAAATTTCCATGGCTTCCTGAGGAAGTAGAGACGTTGTCCTTTCTTGACCATCGTATCGAAGTGGGTGGACCAGGACAGATTGTTGGTGATCATCACTCACAGGAACCTGACCTTCTTGACCATTTCCACCTCGGCACCATTAATGCAGACAGGGGCATGCCCTCCACTCCTCTTCCTGAAGCCAATAATCAGCTCCTTTGTTTTGCTGAAGTTGATGGAGAGATTGTTGTCTTTATACTATGCCACCAAGTACTCAATCTCTTTCTTGTATTCTGTTTTTTGAGCTCTGACCTGCAAGTGCGGCGTCGTCAGCAAACCTGTAAACTGAGGTAGGGCAGAATTTGGCCATGCAGTTGTAAATGTATAAGGAGTATAGTAAGAGGGCCGAGTACACAGACTTGTGGGGCACCGGTGTTGAGATTATAGTGGAGCAGATGTTGTCACCTATTCTTACTGATGCAGACTGTGGGTCAGGAAGTTGATGATCCAGTGACAGAGGGTGGAGCCAAGACCTTGGTCCCAGGGTTTCGAGATGAGTTTGTTTGGAATCATGGTGTTGTAGGTCGAAATGTAGTTAATAAGTAGGAACCTGACATAGGTATCCTTGTTATTCAGACTCCAGGGCTGATTGTAGGGCTAGAGAGATGGTGTCTGCTGTGGACGTGTTGCGCCAGTAAGTAAATTATAAAGGATCAAGACAGTGTCCAAATCTTTGTTAGATTTGGATTACATGCCTAGCTGTTGATAATTATTTGAGTGCATTCAAAATGGCTGCCCAAATAATCTTCTAATAGTGTCACTGTAGTGCAACTATAAAATGTAAATGAAATAGTTTTATAATCACTGTATACTCTGGATTAAAACAAAGAAGCAATATATCTTATTGAATATACTTTCATGACAACTGACTGAATGTGAAATCATTTAAATTCCATCTCCCCTTCCTATCAGAAATCTTCTCTATCTCTGACAATCATTTATCTTTTATTTCATTTGTGAAAGTGAAGGACAACACATCCAAAGTTGATGCACATCTTGTTGGTATAAGGCTTTTGGTTTTGAAAAATACTCAGAACCACAGAATTGTTACAGTGCAGAGGAAGGTCATTTGGCCTATTCCTTCTGCACTGACACTCTGAGAATTTTGACTTAGTGTCAAACTCCTGCCTTTTCCCATAATCCTACACATGATTTCTGCTGAAGTCGTTCATTAAGTTCATTCAGTGCCTCTTCCTAGTTAGTATGAATTGAACCTGCCTCAAGCACATTTTTCGATAGTCCAGTTGAAACATGGATCTCTCACTTTAAAGGTGTTTTTTAATCTTGCTATTGATGTTTTTTTGCAAAGCACTTTTGAGCTCTGTCCACTGGTTCCACGATCTTTTTATGAGCAGGGACAGATTTTACCTATCTAGTCTATTGTTATCTCTCATGATTTTGAAAACTTGGATCAAATCTCCCCTCAGCCTTCACCTTTCTAAGGAAAACAATGCCAATTTCTCTGATCTATCCTCCTTACAAAAAAAGAAAGAAAGTCAACCCTGGAACCATTCTTGTTTGCTTCTTCTGCACTCTCTCCAATACATTCACGTCCTTCATAAAGTGTTACACCCAGCTCAGTCCACAATATTCTATCTGAGGTCTAATCAGTGTGCTAAATATGCTCACCGTAAGCTCCTTGTTCTTACAATCTATGTTCTTATTAATAAAGCTCAGAAAATTGTATGATTTCGTCAACAGTTTTCAACCTGCACTGCCACCATAAATGAATTATGTACATATATACATATGCGTGTCTGCTCCTGCACACTCTTTAGAATAGCAACCTTTAGTTTGTACTGTCTCACTATGTTCTTTGTACAATATTTCTCCACATTGAACTGCATCTGCCAACAAACGTCAATGAATTTTTCAAGTTACGCTCTATCACTCTCACAGTTTTCAATTCTTCAATTTTTTTATTGTCACCTGCAAACTTTAAACTTGCTCTCCACACACAGATCTGGGTCATTTATGAGTTTCAGATAAGCAAGGGTGCCAATACTAACTGCTGGGTACTGCACTACAACCTTTCCTGCCATCTAAAAAAAATCCATACCTATCTCTGTTATTAAATGGGCTATTAAATTCTTCAAATCTTTTGGACGTCACTGTATTGAAAACTCCTGCAAGTCAATATATATCACATCAACAAATTTGCCTTTATTAAACCTCAGTGTTACTGCTTCAAAACATTCCAACAGGTAAATTAAACACTTAACAAATCCGTGCTGACACTTCTGAGTTGACCCATGTTTTTCCACAACTATTAATTCTATCCCAAATCATTAGTTTTCAAATTTTCTACACCACTGCAGTCAAACAGAATCACCTATGTGTACTGCTTTTCGGCTTTCTTCCTTTCTTCCTCTACAGCTGGGCCACCCATTGTGTCACAGGCTTGGCTGTTGCTGCAGTCCTCCAAAGATCCATCACCCTCATTGATTTTCGGGATGGAAAACTAGTTTGTGAATGAACTGTGGCACAGTAGTTAGCACTGCTGCCTGAAAGTGATAGGGACACAGGTTTGATTCCAGCCTTGGGTGACTGTGTGGAGTTTGTACATTCTCCAGGTGCCTGCATTGGTTTCTGCCAGGTGCTCCAATTTCCTCCCACAGTTCAAAGATATGTGGGTTAGATGGGTTGACCATGCCAAAGTGTGCCATAGTGCCCAGGAATGTGTAGGATAGGATCAGGCATGATAATTGTGGGGTTATGGTGATAGGGTGGGCATGGTGGGTCCAGGTGGGATGTGCTTCAGAGGTTCAGTACAGATTCAATGAGCTGAATGGCCTCTTTCCACACTGTAGGGATTCCTATTGAATCCTGCAGTACCTGCTTATTGGACATCCTGGTAGTCTACCATCCACAATCTGTCTGCTTTCCTCTAACCAGCATATGACTACCGCTCTGACTATGCTATCCATGTAGTCACTGACTCATAGATGCACCTCAGTGGCTCTAGCCATTCTTCAGGCTTGTACATATGACTTGTCCTGCATGTGGGCTAGTCTAATTCCCAAGAAGCATCCACAGTTCCCCACATCCCACAGAATGGGCATTCTGCTTTGCTGAACTGACCTGCAGTCCTTTAGCTTATACTTTTAAATTACTTTAACTTACTTTCATCTTACTATTTTGCACTATTACCTAAAAACTTAAGATTCACAGAAAGTAGAAACTTCTCGTTCTTACTTATTATCTCCCTCTTTTGTGCATATAAATAATTCATTTCCTTGCACAAATTTAATTATTTCAAAATCACTAGTATCATAACACAGTCCCTAATAGCAGCTGCTGAACATTAACTCACAACTTTTCAATGTATTTCTCTTAGATATTTTCCTCTCATCTGTATGCTCTTTATATCCGGTGTCCATCCTCTCTCCTGCTCTTCTAGGTGTTGGTGATTATCTCCATGCCCTCCTCTTTCTCACTGTTTTCGGTGCTGCTTGAAAAGGTTATACTGAAGTGTACATTAAGCTCCACCCAATGCGATGATATCAGCGGGACTTGGGCGGGAAGAACAGCTCTGGATCTAGGAGGAATCAAACATACAATTAGATCTCCTCACATCTGATTGGCCAGCAGCTTCAATAGTCCCAACAATCCCAGAATATCATAGTAGGTGCTACTGGGTCTGCAGGTCCATGAAAGCAGCCAAGGTAACTCAGGTGAGTTGGACAGGGCGGCGTTGGCCACCTTAGGGAGTGTGGCCAAGGGAGTGGAGGGGTGTTTTTAGTGCCATAAGACTGTAAGGTGCAGAAGTTATCCATTCATAGAATCCCAGAATCCCTAGTGTGGAAGCAGGCCATTTGGCCCATCAAATTTACACTGACCTTCCAAAGAGCATTCCACCCAGACTCACTCTGCTATCCTTTCCCTGTAACCCTGCATCTCCCACGGCTAACCCACCTATCCTGCACATCTCTGAAAACTGTGGGGCAATTTAGCATGGTCAATCCATGTAACCTGCACAACTTTGGACTATGGGAGGGAATCGAAACACCTAGTAGAAACTCACGCGGACACAGGGAGAATGTGCAAACTCCACAAAGACAGTTGTCTGAGGTTGGAGTCAATCCTGGGTCCCTGGTGCTGAGAGGCAGCAGTGCTAACCACTGAGCCACCATGCCACCCAGCACGTTTGGCCCATTGTATCTGCTCTGCCATCCAATGAGATCATGGCTGATCTGATAATCCTCAAATCAACTTTTCCTGGTAAACCTTCACTCCCTTGCTATTTAAAATCTGTCTATCACATCCTTGAATCTAACGATCTGCAGGGTTGAGAGGAGAACTCCATTCACTTCAATCTGCTGTGAATCAGGGGCAAGGAGTGACTGCAGAAAGCTTTCCTGAACTTGCTCCTAACCATCCTGACATTTGGAAGTTACATTTGTAACACACAGGTGCCAGGCACTGACCATCTCCAACAAAATGGAATCTAATGATTGCTCCTCGACATTCATTAACAGTGCCATCGCTGAATTCTTCCACTATCAACATCCTGGTGATTACTGTTGACCAGAAATTCAACTGGATTTGCTACATGAATACAGTGCCTACATGAGTAGGTCAAAGGCCTGGAATCCTGCAGCAAGCAAATCACCTCCTGGCTCTCCTAAAGCCTGTCTGCCATCTAAAGCATGAGTCAGGTGTGTGATGGAACACTCCCCATTGGTGAGTGCAGTTCCAATAACACTCAAGATGCTTGACACTATCCAGGATAAAGCAGCTCGCCTAACTGGCACCAGCGCCACAAACATTAAGCCCTTAGGCTACCAACACTCAGTAGCAACAGTGTGTACTATCTACAAGATACACGGCTGAAATTCACCAAGTCTCCTTAGAGAGCACCTTCCAAATTCATAACCACTGCCACCTAGAAGAAGAAGATGAACTGGAAACTCCACTATCTTCAAATCACTCACTATCTTGACTTAGAACTATATGGCTGTCACTTCAGTATTGGTGGGTCAAAATCCTGGAATTCCCTCCCTAACAGCACTGTGGGAGCACCTGCACCAAATGGTTTGCACGGTTTAAAAAGGCAACTCATCACCACCTTAGCAAGTGCACCTAGGATGGGCAATAAATGCTGGCCCAGCCAGTGTTACCCACATCCCATAAGTGAATTTAAAAAGTTGCCTGCTTTAGCAGAAATGACTTCCTTGTGAAGGACATCCAAGAGATGAAAGGTCCAGATGTTCAAGGAACTTACAGACTGTGCGCAATCAAGAATGGATCAAGGCAAACAGTCCTCCAGAAAAAGATTTACCAATCTTCCAAGGATGAAGAGAATGCATTCTGGACGGATAGTGAACCCTCCAGACCACCTGAATTTCTGAAGGCAGAGACTTATGAACAGACAGAGTAGAGGCAAATATAATTATATAAATGAATGTATAGCTGTTAAAAATGGGGAGAAGACTTACAGGGAAATATTTTATAAGGTGTTTCATTCTGAAATGACTAATGCGGAGGTATGTGTTAGAATACACCCACTATGATGATATCATAAAGACTTGGATCAGGAAATCAAAGCTGGATCTTGAAGGTAACAGGCATATCAGGGTCTCCTCATACTAGTTTTCCATAACCACACCAGACAAAGTAGGTCCTGTGGACCCCAATCGAAAAGAAAGGATGAAGGCAGCAAGTCCACCTAGGGGTGACCATGAGTCCAACTAGCCCATACAATGGGATGAGAATGGTGATGACTCCCTATGCAACATGGTGGCATCAGTGGGCATATTACAATATATTACAATTATATCTATTACATTTATATTACAATTATATATTACTTCATATTACAATACATCCAACTATGTGAAAATGGCAAATTGATCAGCAGATTAATTAAAACACTGGCACCACTCCAAAATATGTGACAACTCATAAAAATGCTGAATTTTCAGTCAATGCACTAAAAATAGCCACTAATTAACACTACCTATCAGGTTTAGAATAATTTAAACATTTCTAAACTATTTAAAGTAGCATTAAAATTGATTACATTATTTTTACTTTTGCAGTCTTTGGATTATGAGGCTAGTCCTCAGAGGAATATTAAGATAACAGTTGAAAATGAAGAACCTTTCGCTACATGTCCAGCACCAAGGGAGAGAACTTCCATTGAATTGCCAGAAATCTCTGCAGTTATAACCGTGAAGGATGAGAATGACCCTCCTGTGTTCACCCCTCCAGTATTATTTGTTCAGGAGATTGAAGGTCAGAAGCCTGGAAAGATACTGGGAAGATTTAATGCGACTGATACTGATAAATTCTTTAAGCATTCCATCAGGTAAAAGAAAATCTTGAACATAAGAGAACATGTATTACAGCTTTTCAGATTTATGTCCTAATTATTTATTTTTGTCAAAACTTTATTATATTATCTTTTCATTTGATACTATCTAAGGCTATTTGTTACTGCATGGCATTGGAGTTTTTTTCCAACTGTAGGGTCAAGATGAACTATGGGTATAGTCCCTGTCCACTATGGGTATAGTCCCTGTCCACTATGGGTATAGTCCCAGTCCAATAACTTTTCCATATGATTTAACTACGACAGAAACAGCATGGATAAATTGGTCTGACCTCTTGATCAATAAATGCTAAACAACAAACTAACAGAAAACTTTGAAGTTGGGAAATATTGAAATAATGTTATACCAAACCCATCAATTCCTTTCACAAGCACTCTTGGAAATAGTTCAAAATTGCTGTTAATATAATGGAAAGGAGCATCAGGTTACATGTAACCTGATTCACATGTACTGATTCACCACTGGCCCTTTTGTATTATTTGCCAGGTCCAAATTCTACCTCTGTATAAACAGTGAATAAATTCCCTAAGTACTAAGTTCTGTTTTACCAAGGTTTACCATATAACATATTTATTACATTTTCCTTCAAACAACTACAGCTTTATTGAAATATAGGTGTGTGAAGTAAGTGCAGAAAATTCTGGAAATATATAGGCTGCTAACCACAGTTAAAGAGAGAAGACAGACTATGATGTTTTAGATATGTGCTGTTGATCTGAAATGTTTGTTTATGCTATTGTTGATAATTCCTTCCAAGAATGTGTCCTTTTTAAAATTACATTACCAAATTTTCTAAAGCTAAATAACTCATAAAACAGGATAAACATGATCTAACTACACAGTAATTGGCTGGATTTGATATATTCTGTACTTTAAGCATCCTGGGCAATGTTGCACATGGTTAAGCAGAGGCCAAGGCTATAGAAACACATGTAGTTTGGCTGAGCAATATTACAACTCTGGGGGAGATTTTCTCAGTTGTATGCTTTTTTCAATGACATAACCAGAAATGTGCATAATTTCTGCTTTATCTCGTTTTAGCTGTTTCCTGCTTAATTCATATTTTAAATACACTGTGGGTCAGTGGCTGAGCTAGCTTTTCACTGGTGAGACCTGACATTGGCAGACATTGCTTTAGGCACAGGGAGGCTGTAATGGAGCCTCCTTGTCAAACAGAAATGCTCTGTATCGTGGCCAAAATTTTCCTGTCTAATTACATCGCCATTAATATAGGACCTAAAAACACAACAGTAGCATGGGGTTTTTCAGAATTAAATTTCACTTGCAAATATTTCTCATTACATTATTTTCACTTTTTTCCTGTGTGCTTCTTGATTATTCATTCAGGTTAGCTTCGTCAGAGATTTAAAAATATTGGCATCCCTCATTGTTGGCACACATTGTTGGTTACGGGAGAGCTAGGGACGTTAACTTTATTGTGAAAGAAATAATCTTGTCTTTTCTCGTTAATTTTTAAAAATTGAATATTCATACAAGCATCTGTGTCTTGCACAGACATGACTGAACTTGTAAGCTCAGCTGGCCCTCACCTTTATACAATGAAAAGACATTGTCCCGTATCACTTTCCACAGGGATAATTGAAACTTTGGAGATGAAGTAAAAGCTCTGTTTGGAGTCCACCATCCAGCGCCAAAATGGACACAGATTTGAACAATACTGGTACTTTAAGGCCCCTCATTTTCATAATTTGAGTTTTCCCACCAACCTTCACCATACCCAAAATGCCAAGCCATTCCCACTTCATTCTTCCATTCCGTAAACCTCACCTCTGTCCTCCCCGAATCCCTCTTCTGCTCCTCCATGCTTGAGCCCACTTCACACTCTCTCTCTTTATCACTGACCCACTTGAGTCAGTCCTGAGCCTCCATGCAAACTGACACTCTTCTACTCCCCTCCCTTGTAAGATGAAGTTAAACAGGAAATCTACTGACCAGCCACAACAAAGTTGACTGGTGAATGCCATCTTCAAACTAACACGAACCAGGGGCTACAATTCATTGTCCAAGAATGACATTCCAAGACATGACCTCAAGCTTAAAGGAACATCACAGTGTAATTTAATAATGGTTCACTGAGAGAATTCTGGTCAGTCTTGAGAAGGTTCACTAGGCTGTGACTGGGTCTGGAGAAACTGTCTCATGAGGACAGATTGAGTAGGTTGGCCTCTACTCAATCTTGTTGAAACATACAGGATTCTTAGTAGACTTTGTAGGGTAGATGTGGAAAGTCTGTGTTCCCTTGTGGGAGAGTCTAGGACCAGAGGGTATAATCTCAGAATGAGGTGTTGCCCATTTAAGGCAGAGATGAAGGTGAATTTCTTCTTTCAGAGGGTTGGGAATTTGTTGAATTCTTTACTGCAGAGGGTTGGCGATGCTGGACTATTATGCCTATTCAAGTCTTAGACAGACTTTTAATCAGTAAGGGAATCAAAGATTTTGAGGAAAAGGCAGGAAAATGGAGTTGAGGATTAGCAGATAAACTGTGGCCTCTTTGAATGGCAGAACAAACTTGATGGGCTCAGTGGCCGATGAGTGGCCTCCCAATGTAGCATTAAAACTTTGATAGTGCAATTGATTGGACAATGTCACAGACTCTGAACTCCTTGTAGAGGTATGACATCGACCTCCTTGATGACACATCATATGAAGACCTGATGTGAGGCTTCATTGTGATGGATGTGAGAGCTGAGGAGTTCCTTCAATGGAATTGAATTATCTTTCTAATATTCCTGACAGTTTAACACATTATTTGTTTATGGATCAAACATGAAGCTAGCCATGCCTAGGGTCATGAATGTTCAAAATCCCTAATGATTCAGGCTTTCTGCAGTCAAGGAGTCAGTAGCTTGTAATCAATAACAAACACTTGGCAATTGCAACTTCTTTTATCCTTGGGGTGTCTGAAGAGGCAGCTTATCCCTCATGTAGGTGTGATTTAATCAGGCCCAACAGTAAAAATTATATGACAGTACACATTTTAACAGTGCAAGTGAACATACATTGACAAAAGTGAAAAACTATCTACAATGTTGTGTCACCCATGACATCCATGTGCCCTCAGTAAGTTTACTATTTTCTCTGTCTCCAACTAGTTCTAAGTACAGTCCCAACTTCTGCATCTGGGGTGGAGGGACCTTACTGTGTTGTTGGCCGCATTTGCCTGGAAGACTTTGGTGGTTGGTTTTGTGGTCTTTTGGATCTAGAGGGCCTAGTCATGCCCAGGTGCAGGCACATCCTCCTTGTTGTGGACTTCAAGCATGCTTCAAAATCAAAGGCAGGGGTGAGGTGGAGCGTCTGGGCTAATCTGAATGTCGTGAAAAGAAGCTTCAGGTGTCCTACATGGTGCTCCTTCTCCTATTGGTACCTGCTGACACCAATCTAACTCCCAGAGAGGAAGGATACTCGGAATGAGGTTGAAGTTTCTCATCCCGTCTCACCTTGTCATTGCTGCTGTGCATGTGTAGCTAGAAAATGGAGTGCAGGCCTAAAACTGGCAGATCCAAAGTGTGCTGGATTTAGACATCCACAACATGTCCATGGAGAAAGTCAGACGCATGCATGCTGGAGCAAACACCGTATTGATAATGCTGGTGGACTCCTCCACCCTCCAATCCAAATTACTGAGAGCGTCTGACAAATCAGCCTGCTGTTTCTGTGCTTATCTGTGCACTTTCATGAAGTCATTAATGGAAAAGCAATGCAATGAAGCTTACTGGGTTCACCATTGCCAGTTTTGGATCTCTAGGCCTGATTAGAGACAAATCTTTCCTGCACTGGGGCAAAGAGAGGGATTGGGTATAATAGAAGACCAGTTAGTGCTGATGCATGAGCAGGAGAGGTGGTGAGGAGTCCCCGGTGACTAAGTTAGAAGGAATAGGTAAGTAGTTTAGGAGCTTGAGGTAGTTGAGACCCGTTGACGCATGCAACAGTGAATTGTAGGCTATGAGCTTTAGCAAGATGAGTGTGCAATAGCGGAGTTAGAGTGGATGCTGGCCCCTGTGATTGTGAGATAGCTGAGGGAAGATGGTGTCACTTATCCTTGCAGAGCCCAGATGTTCATTAACTTTCTCACTGCATTGTTAGGCATACTGCTTCACCTGTATCACAGCACTAAACTGGATTGCTATCTGTGTCCAGGCTGGCTGGTCTGGTGATGATCAGTTGGAGAAAGGACGGCTGTCCTCACCTCTGAAACCTTCAGGTACCTGTAAGCTATGTTTTCTGTGCCAAATTGATCCATCATCAGTGTAACGGGCAGTTCCGACCCTACAGCATCTGAACTGCTGTGGAACTAGGCTTTAAATATGGAGCCAGCCGTGTGAATACCAAAAGGTCTCTGTAGGGGGAAGCACATGTATTTCTCCTGCCACATGATTCTCTGTGAAAAACACGCAAGGGCCCCGTTTCAAAATTAATATGGCAAAGAGCAAAGATTTGAGAAAAGTCACTCCAAAACTGTTGGATGAATGAATCTCATTTGATAAAGCACTTTAACAAATAACGGAAAAATTCTGCCCACAGTCTTGACAAAAGAGAATTGGCACGTTGAACAACCTCAAATAATACTTACCTTGTGTCACATACTGGCAGAGTTGGCAACTACCATGATGGGTCAGCAATGGCAAAGAGACCAACTACCACACCTGTGCAATGTATTCCCTAATTCATTTCCACCAAATATTATCTGCCATGTTCCTAACCAGTTATAATATTTTTTGCATTATAAGGATTGATTCAAAAAGCAATTAGCCCAACAAAAATATGCAACTTTGCGTTTTTTTTTATGGGATGAGAGTGTTGCTGACTAGTTCAGTATTTATTACTCATTCTAACTTGCCCTGGAGAAGTTGGTGGTGAACTGCCTGCTTGAACGGTTGGGGTCTTTGTGCTGTAGGGATACCCATAGTACAATTTAGAAAGGGGTTCCAGGATAATGCTATGGTTATACTGCTGGGCTAAGAACCCAGACCTTGTAAATTCAAATTATATCCTGGTAAGTTGAGAAACTGATGCAGTAAATATGGTAATGTACAGAACTAGCTTCAGGAAAAAATAATCATAAGATATCATGGATTGACGTACATTTCATTCTCACAGACTGATGATAGATCTAGCCAGTCGAAGCTGAACAGACCATTAACAGCAGTAGGATTGTATATCACTACAATGTTTTTCATGATGTCGTAATATACTTTGCCTATTGAACAGGAGATCACCTCTGGTTCTAAACAGGCGGTAGAAGGACTTGTCATGAACAAACTTAGTGACGTTGAAAAAGAGGGAAACGTACGTGTTGAACACCAATATCTCGGAGAGAGTATTTGCAGTTGTAACCAGTTACTGTGTAAAGCAGTTTATTCCTCATACTATAGTTGATTCTTTTCCCAATCACCTTAAACCTGAGTCCTATGTGAATAGTTGCTTTCTGTTTGCAAATTTAAACAATTGATTGCCTAGTTAATTTGGTTCACCTCTGGTGATATCAAGAAGCGGCTGATTGTACAGAAGACTATGACCTTGACGATATCGCTGCTGTAGTGTGGAAGATGTGCATAACTGAACTATTCATCACCTAGTCAAACTACAGATATGTTTCAGGGCACTGGCATCTGCCTGGCCATGTACAAAACAGCCCAAGGTATCCTGTTTGCCAAAATGAAAGGATTACCTGTTCCAGCCAAATACTAGCTAGTTTTATTTTATTCATTCACAGATGTAGGCATTACCTACTAGGCTAGCATTTATTACCAATCCCTGATAGTCCAGAGGGCAATTAAGAACCTACCACATTACTGTGGGTCAGGAGTCACAGATTGGAAAGATCGGATAAGGCTGGCAGATTACCTTCCTTAAAGGGCATACCTGAACCTGATGGGTTTTAGGCCATCTTTATCCTGTCTTAAGAGTTAACTTGATTTTGAAAACATGGCAATGTAATTAAAAAGGATATTTTCCATTCTTCAATAGTCATGGAAAGAATTATCAATAATGGCATATAGTAACCCCCAACTCACCATTCAAATGTAATCCCTGACCATTGGGTAATAATCATCATCATCATCATCCTGGGAGAAATACAATAAAACAAAATAACATAAATTAAAGAAAACTTTGGAAATTTTGACTGTGACCCCTTGGGCTCGCACGTGACATCAAATAGTTTCAATTTCTCTAACTGTAACAATAAAAAAAGACTTGGTGTTAGCAATTAATGTTTAATGTTCTTGAATAAACTATTGTGTGTCTTTTTCTGTGAAAGATATGTTCGAGGATCTGACCCAGCTGAATGGTTTGCAGTAGATGCTGACACTGGTGTTGTCTCAACAGTAAAAACACTGGATCGCGAATCCCCTTATGTGAATAACAGTTTTTATACCTTAATTGTTTATGCAGTTGAGAATGGTAAGTTGTCTTCTGAAGATATTAATTTGCGGATTACATACTTAAATGGGCAGGTTAAGTGCCACACTTCTTGCGCTCTGCTACTTCACATTCACTCTAGCGTTGCTACTGCATCCATTTACTACTACAGGTCACTCTCTACCACTCTTGCAACTATATACCTCATCTTCCCTCACTCACTCTTGCCCCCTCTACCACAAAAGTCCAATATCACTAATCATGAATGGACTTGGTGCTGCCCACTCACTTGTCTGGGAACTTTGGGGGGCACAAGCTGGTGAGCACCTCACTGTTCCACCTCTGCCTAAGGAAGAAACACCCAGGTTGCTGACAGTGCGAGGGCTAAAGGCAACCAGGCACCGTTCAGTACCAGGTAAAAGAGGAGCCTGTGGTGTCAGCAATTAGTGACATTTTCCAACTGCGCCGGGAGCAACAAGAGGTATTGTAGGACAGAATAGCTTTCATAGCTGAGACGCTGCAGGAGTATAGCTCCTTCATGAGGACCCAGCTGCCTGAAGCATGTGATTGCCGTCTTCCTCCATGGACAGGTTGGCAGCTGCCACGGAGAGCAATGTCCAGTGCCCTGAGGACCTGTTGGGAAATGCATGAACCTGCACTCCATCACACCAGTCATTGGACCTCATGACCAATGGCATGGTGACAGGTAACCATAACCCTAACCTGTTACAGGGAACATGGAACTTGGTACTTATTTCAGGTGTCTCTTCCTCATACGGAAACAGTGTGGTACCCAGTCAGTGGAGGGACCACACACAGGCCCCTCAGAGGTTTCCACTCAGGACATTACAGAGCTGGTTGTCCCTCAGCCTCCATATTGTCTGTCCTCATCCCAAAGTTTAAGCTGAGAATGGTCCACTTGCATCTCATAAGGAGTCCCTGAGTATGTCTGGGCTGTCCAGGAACAAAAGGACCTGGCATTGCCCGATGAAACCTCTAAGATAAATTAGCCCCATTGTCAAACAGGCTACCCCACTCCAGTGGTGAGAATCATAGAATTCCTACAGTGTGGGAACAGCCCATTCAGCCCAACAAGTTCACACCACCCCTCCGAAAAGCATCCCCTCCCAGACCCATCTCCCTACCCTTTCCGTGTAACCCTACATTTCCCACAGCCAATCCACCTAACTTACACACCCCTGGACACCACGGACAATTTAACATGGCCAATCCACTTAACCCACAGATCTTTGGACTGTGGGAGGAAACTAGAGCACCTGGTAGAAACCCACACAGACACGGGGAGAATGTGCAAACTCCACACAGACAGTCACCTGAGGGTGGAATCCAACTCGGGTCCCTGGCACTGTGAGGCAGTAGTGCTAACCACTGAGCCACTGTGCTGTCCTAATCTAGGATAACACTGTGACTTAGTGGGAAGGAGAGAAAAAAAGTCCTTTTTGAGAGCATATTGGTGGCATGGATGACATTGTTCTGTATATGAAGTCTAACACTTGCATGAAAGTTAAATGTTTTGCAATAGATCTGTTTGTGCTCCTGAATGTAACTGTACCAGCATGATGCCTAACCTCATGTTCATACAGGATGCACCATGCATCAATGTCATCATTGAGACTCTGCTGAAGCATGTGAAAGGAAGATGAAAAAGGTACATTTAGGGCAAAGGATACCATCATCGCTCTTGGTCAAATATTTCTATTTTTTTTTCCCCAAAACTCTGTGTGCAAAAGTATTGGTGTTGAATTAAATGGTCAGCAATGTGTTGCCAGGGAGATGTACAGAACACAGAGAGCTACTGCCTTAGAATCACCATGAATTAGGGAGCACAGGTCTGTGTCCTGCACAGTGCATGGGTCTGTGTGTCATTTTTTTGTCCTCTAAAGGGTCTCACATATTGAAACACTTACCCTGTCCTCTCTGGGTGTGGTTTCAGCCATTTTCTTTCCTGTTGGGTAGTTTTGATTCCCAGCACGATGGAAGGTGACAATGAGCTCACTTTGGTCAGTGAACAGGCCTGGATGAGAAGTGCCCAGACTACTGACTAGTGGCTGTACATCTCCCTGACTGCATTAGCCCTACCTCCAGACTTACCACCTATGGAGACATGGGACTGACCTTGACCCCTTTCTGGATTGCAGAAGTATGGACTCTCTGATTGGGAACATTCTGAACAGATGCCTGACCGTGGCCAATTCTCTTGACTGGTATTGGAAGCTGTGCTCAACTTAATATGCCTGATTGACAGACGCCTCTATGAATTTCTTGTCTGTAACTTTGTAAGATGTTGCCATTAATGAATAGGCCAGCATTTATTTCCCATCTTTAATTGACTAGAGGGTAATTAAGTGTCAATTGTATTTGCTCCTGACTTGTTGAGTCAATAATAACAATGTGGTTGAGTCAATCATAATTTTCAGAAAGCTTTTGATAAGGTCCCAAGTAAGAGATTAGCATGTAAAATTAAAGCACATGGGATTGGAGCTACACATAGGACTGCGGTAGTGTACTGCCACGGATAGAGAACTGGTTAGCAGATAGGAAACAAAGAGTAGGAATAAGTGAGTCCTTTTCTGAATGACAGGCAGTGACTTGTGGAGTATCTTAGGAATAAGTGCTTGGACCCCAACTCCTCACAATATATATTAATGATTTAGATGAGGGAACTAAATGTAATATCTCAAAGTTTGAAGGTAACACAAAGGTTGGGTGTAAGGGTAAGCTGTGAGGAGGATACAAAGACACTATGGTGTGATTTGGACAAATTGAGTGAGTGGGTAAATGCACAGCAGATGAAGTATTACATGGATATCCACTTTGGTAGCAAAAACAGGAAGGCAGATTATTATGTGAGTGACGATAGGTTGGGAAAATGGGGAATGCAATAAGCGTGTAGGTGAAGAAGGCAAATATATGTTGGCTTTAATAGCGGGGAGGATTTGAGTACAGGAGCCAAAATGTGTTATTAAAATTGTACAAGGCTGTGGTAAAAATCAGACCTGGAGTACTGTGTGTAGTTTTCATAGAATCCTTACAGTGTTGAAAAGGCCATTCAGCCCACTGAGTCCACACTGACCTTCTGAAGAGTATCCCACCCAGACCCACCCTATCCCTGTAACCCTGCATTTCCCATGGCTAACCCACCTAGCCTGCACATCATGGGCAATTTAGCATGGCCAATCCACATAACCTGCACATCTTTGGACTGTGGGAGAAAACCAGAGCACCCAGAGGAAACCCACACCAACACAGGGAGAATGTGCACTCTCCACATAGACAGTTACCCAAGGGTGGAGTCGAACCCAGGTCCCTGGTGCTGTGAGGAAGCAGTGCTAACTGCTGATCCACCATGATACCTGTGGAGGGAGTGCAACAAAGGTTTACCAGACTGATTCTTGAGATGGTAGGACTGACATACAAAGAGAGACTGGATGGTTAGGACCTTCTTCACTGGGGTTCAGCAGAATGAGGATCATCTCATAGAAAACTACAAAAATCTAACATGTCTAGGCAGGGTAATCTCTGGGAGGATGTTCCTGATGACTGGGGAGTCCAGAATCAAGGGTCATAGTATAAGGACATGGGGTTGTCCATTTAGGACTGGGATGAGGAGAAATTTCTTCCTTCACGGTGTGTTGAGCCTGTAGACCTTTCTGCCACAGTAAATGGTTGAAGCAAAAATGTTCAAGGTGGAGTTAGATATAATTCTCAGAACTAAAGGGAATGGGGACAAAGTCAGAACAGGATACTGGATTGGATGAGCAGCCTTGAAGGGCCAAATGGCCGACTCTTGCTCTTATTTTTGATGCCTCTCTTACTATTTCTCTAATACTTTTACAGTCACATGTAAGCAAGACCCAGTAAGGATGGCGGATTGCCTTCCCTCGGGACATTCATGAACTCAATGGGCTTTTACAATAATCTTACAGTGGTGACAATTAAGCTAGCTTTTTATTCCAGAATTTTATTGAATTCAAATTTCACCATCTGCCATGTGGTATTCAAACCCATGTTCCCAGAACACTAGAGATTCTGGATTACTAGCCCAATGACATTACCACTACGCCACCATCTCCCAAAGAACTGCACTTTCTTGAGGATTTTGAGACATGGCTGTTAGCTTGCTGCACATACCGAGTGTTTACTGCCTATGCTGCTGGCTCAAGGTGCAGATGTGAGAGTGAAGCAGCAGACTGCTATGCAGCTTTAAGTCCACCCCCTTGTCTGAGGCCTGCTAACCAACAAGACATTTCGCCTAGTGTGTGACTGCATAATAGGAAAGACAAAGGAGGGATGCTGTGAACATTCAGGTAGGCTCTAAGTGAGTGAGTAGCCTGGAGCTGCAGCTTGATCCAATCCATGAGCTGAGTACCTATCGTGTATCCCTACACAAAAAGTGTCCTTACAGCAGCCTTTCAATGTTACTTGCCAGATGCAATGCAGGTCTGTACTTCCTAAGTGTCCTGCAAGTGGATGGGAGACGTGCCATGAGGATACTGATAAGTTGGCAATTTCAGATGCCAATGGATGAGGGCTGTGTATGGCTACTGCCCAAGGATCTTATCCTAAGATACTGTTGTTCAGTAGCATCAGCGGTGAACTGGAATCGCTTGATACCCGTTCTGACTTCCATGTCGAGAATTCCTGGCATCTAGATTGCTCGCAGCAGTTGTAGGTTAAGGAGTCGCATACTGATGAGGGAAGTTATGCAGTTAATAAGATTGTTAATAAGCAATAAACCTCCTAAACTAGCAACTCACCATTACTGAATTAGAGTCTGTCCTCAATGACCAGAACCTGTTCAAAGGCTGCAGTGGGTTGATCCTGACATCAAGTTAAACCTTGCTGGAATTCTCACATGATTCTACCACAATTCCTGCCATTACCATCTAATTCCATACAAGGAAAAATGGATTTCTGAACATGAGCTGTCATACAGTGGGTGATTCATTGTGGATGCATACAACTAAATTGAGAGTTCATCAAAGTGAAAAAGGAGATACTGGAGGCAAGTACAGGGAACATGCAGGATCACAAGTATGTCCATGGAGAGGACACAGCAGTGCAGTGGGGAGCCAGACATAGAAGTTTGTGAAGAAAGGAGCAGATAGCACTGATGCATTGACATAAAATAGCCTTGGCATGAATAGATCTCACTGAGAGTTTGCTGTGTAGATGTATTAGTGGAACAAAGGACGGCCATCCATACAGCTATTATGATGCAGCGAGTGGCAAGTGAGGCCAACCTTGAAGATGCAGTTCATCTTCTCAGTCAGCAACAAGCAGCGATGAAGAGCTATCACTCCAACAATAAACTCAATCTTTTTGTCATGAGGCTTGCGAAGCTGTTCGCCGAGGCGCAGGGAGAATATGAAGGAGATATGCACATCGTTGGATTTACCACAAAAAATACAGCTTCCTGAACAGGTCAGAGAATCAGTGTCATCAGAGTCTGTATCAATGAATACAATGAGTTACTTATTTGTACAGCTTTGTGGAGGAGAACCTTGGGTCTTGCCACTTGAGAAGGCACACCCTACCTGTAGCTATGAGACTATCAAAAAGCTACTTTGCAGCTGGGTCATTTCAAGGCATGACAGTGGACTTGAGTGGCACACCACAAGCAACCTCTCATTATTGCATCTGGTAGGTGATAGATGCTTGAATGAGTTAACGTTAGAGTGCATTGAGCTCCAGACTTAAAGGCGTGCACAGGGTAAAGTGAGGCTATGGGATTTAAGCCAGGCAAGTCTGACTTCCCTCTCACAATATCGACTACCTGTAATTGGATGCTAATTTCATCACTGGACCACTTGTTGCACATTTGAATACAAGAACACAAGAACACAAGAACTCGGAGCAGGAGTAGGCCGTCTGGCCCTTCGAGCCTGCTCCGCCATTCAATAAGATCATGGCTGATCCTTTCGTGGACTCAGATCCACTTACCCGCGTTCTCACCGTATCCCTTAATTCCTTTATTGTTAAAAAAAACTACCTTTTTTTAAAAGCGTTTACTGAAGTAGCGTCAACTACTTCACTGGGCAAGGAATTCCATAGATTAACAACCCTCTGGGTGAAGAAATTCCTTCTCAGTTCAGTCCTAAATCTGCTCCCTCTAATCTTGAGGCTATGCCCTCTTGTCCTACTTTCACCTGCGAGTGGAAACATCCTCTCTACTTCTATCTTATCTATTCCCTTCATAATTTTATGTTTCTATAAGATCCCCCCTCAATCTTCTGAATTCCAATGAATATAATCCCAATCTACTCAGTCTCTCCTCATAAGCCAACCCCCTCAACTCCGGAATCAACCTAGTGAACCTCCTTTGCACCCCCTCCAGTGCCAGTACATCCTTTCTCAAGTAAGGAGACCAAAACTGCACACAGTACTCAAGGTATGGCCTCACCAGCACCTTGTACAGCTGCAACATAACCTCTATGCTTTTTATTTCAATCCCTTTAGCAATGAAGGACAAAATTCCATTTGCCTTCCTAATTACTTGTTGTACCTGCAGACCTACCTTCTGTTGGACATCAGTGGAATAAGTTTGGGATTTAAAATGGCTGTGGTCCTGAAATGGAAATCCTGCCCAATGTATCAATGGAAAAAATAGGTGTTATAGAAGAATATTTTTAATGGAATTGGCTAATATTGTATTTTGAGAGGTAGAGATGTATCCTGTGGATAATATTAGAAACTCTTTGTTCCCAATCAAAAATGTGTCATTAGGTGGAGAGAAGACATCTTAAAGGAGGTCATGGATAGACTGGCAGTGAAAATTGTTATTTCCCTTTGCCATCTCTTCAAATGCTGGTTTTTACACTGCATGTTCTGTTTCATGTCTGAGATTGTTGTATGAGTCTTGTCTGTTTGGGGAATGAGTACCGGCTGCCTCCAACACGTTCTGCTCCAAACCATGGCATACCTTTTTTTTTGGCAGTCTTTTTTTTAAATATACATTTGTTGTATTGTTACCTTGCTGAAAAATGGGGTAGTGGTGAGATGAAAATGGTCCTGTGTAGTTGACCATTTTCCATCTGGAATCATTTTTTTAGAATTTTGAAAGGTGTCTTAAGTAAACTGGTGCCTTGCTGTCAGCAGTTTTGCGGTAATTTGTTCCCCACCTACCAATTCCATCTCACTTCCTGCCGCCTACTTGAGATCAAACCAGAATGTTCACTATATTGCAGTCATGTTTGAAGGTGGCCTTCAACCACATGTTTACAACATTACTGTGATATGCCATCAAATCTCAATGATATCACCCAATTTCATCCCAGCCTTGGCTGAAATCTCCCAACATCTTCATTCATTCCTTTGTTACTGGTAGATTTGACTATTCCATTGTTGCCTGGTTTCCCACATTCTACTCTCCAAAAACTTTAGGCTATCTAAAACTCTGTTGCCTGTGCCCTTACTCACATTTGAGTCTTGCTCATTTATCACTGCTGTGCTTAGTGAGCTACTTTATCAAAGTGAAGCAATGCACTGGTTTTGAAATTCTTATACTTATTGTCAAATCACTCACCTATCTCTGTCACCTCCTTCAGCCCCACAGCCAGCCATTACATCTAATGTTGATCTCGTAAACATGATTAGTTTTAATTGCTCAAACATTAGTAGCTGTGCTTTCAATTGATTTTACCCTAAGAGCTGGAATTTCTTTGCTAAACATGTCTAGCTATCTCCTCCCTTTCCTCTTTAAGATACTTCTGAAAAGCTACAACTTGTGATCAACTGACCTAATATTTCCTTATTTGATTCAATTTTTTTTAATGCTTCTGTAGAATGCTTTGAAACATTTTATTACATTTAGGATGCTACAAAAATATAAACCCTTATCGTTGTACACTTATGAGTAATTCTCTTTGAGGAACTTGGTTTTAGAAGTTGCCAAGTGGATTAAAATTTCTTGGCCCAGTTATTTGCTTTCAGAGTGATCACTCTCCAAAGAAATCTTTGAGTGATGTCAGTTCATTTTTGTATTGGCACCCACCTCTTGTTTATTGCAGGTGAGAGTCCTACAACAGGAACCGGCACAATGTCTCTTTTTCTGATTGATACCAATGACAATCTGCCATATCTTGTCAATACACACCAAGAGATGTGTGATGAAGGTGAAGTCCCATTTGTAACTGTTGCAGCCCGGGATGATGACCTGGATCCCTACAATGGTCCCTTCACATTTATGCTGTTGGACAATGAACAACATATAAAGAACAATTGGAAATTGCGCACACCAACAGGTACATATTATGAGAAAGTGAATGTAATATTGATAGAAAACTGAAAATGCTGGAAGCATTCAGCTGTTCAGGCAGCATCTCACAGAGTCATAGGCCTGAATTTTACTGATTGGGTGGGGTGCTTAACATTGGAAGAAAATATGTGTTGTCAGCTTTTGGGGGTGGGCAGTAGGACATCCCCACACCCCATGAGTTTTACAGAAATTTATAAATTAAATGGCTGCTAGAAGGGTTGCTGGACAGTGGTAAAATTCCCTGAAATGATCTGACCTGGCTCTCTTGCCGTTCTAGCCCATCCTGTGGTGCTCAATAAAATTCAGCCCACAGAGTCAAATGGCATAATAGAAGGCTGCTCAGCTCAGCGAGTACATGATCGCTTTCTATGGAACAATTCAGTCAGGACTATTCCTTGTATCTGTGAGGGAAACAAACAAAATAATATTTCAAATTACCAGCATCTGGAGGACTTTGGTTTTTAGATGAGATAATTTTGATTTAACCTTCAAGGAAATGTAGAACAGGTCCTGAGCAATAAGGCATTGCCACATCTTCCTTTAGTTCTGATAATGCGTAAAGCTAGCTAGTTTAGTTAATGTGAGGCCAAATGTATAATGAGTTAGAAAGCAAAGCACAAGATGACATGTATAGTCAGTGTAGAGCATTTTTATCACTTCTCTATGGATTTTCAATTAAGTTAGCCTTTCCCTTGCAACTTGAAGGCGTGAGTGATAGCTGATGTGGAAAATTATCACCATGCCAGTGCCCTAATATTATTTTCATTTGATACTTTGTTGTGTCAGACTACACAGTTCAGCTTGTGATGGAAAAGAAAATTCCCATTGGAAACTACACTGTGCCTTTCAGAATCCAAGATAGACAGGGAATTACCCAGGAATGTTTTTTGAATCTGCGCATATGCCATTGTCTTGATGGAAAAACATGCCCTGTCCTAAAGCCTGCAACAACTAACTTACATGGAGCTGTGATTGGAATGTTCTTTGCTGGCTTATTATGTTTGATCTGTAAGTATACATTGTCATACAAAATTAGCATCTCATGTGGTAAAAGTTTACAAACAGTAGAAAATGGTTTGTGTTATTTAAGGTTTTCAACCATTTGCAGTTGTATGGTGAATTCATATCTTCAAAGCTCAAGTAGTGGAATAAATTTACAAATACTTGCAAATTATTAACAAAATATTAGTGGTATTTTATTGCCTATGATATTGGAATATTTCAATTACCACATATTAAAGAACTTGTTTTTGAAACCCTACATGGCTTTGCCCTCTTTATCTCTGTAACCTTTTCCAGTCTTGAAGGTGTCTGAGATATATGTGCTCAGTTAATTCTGGCCACTTGAACATTCCTGGTTTTAATTACCATTCTGTTGGCTGTGTTCAGCTGCTGAAGCCCTACATTTTTAAATTCACTTTCTAATCACTCTGTCACTCAACCATGTCTTTCTCCTATAAGTAAACCTTTGACTGGGCATCATATTTGATCTGTAATACTCATATGAAGAGTCTTGTGATGTGTTATGACAATAAAGCTGCTAAATAAATATTAGTTATTGTCATACTGTTGTTATTCTATTGTTTAAAATAAATATAAGATAATGCTACCAGCCAAAAGAGATGGAGCCATTTTTCAAATGGAGAATGATTAACTGTTTTCATTCACTTCTTTTGAACTTTGCAGTGGGATTTTGTTTGCTAATATTTTGTACGTTTTCAAACAAGAAGGGTCAGCACTCATTACCTTCTAATGAACCTATGTGGACTTTGATCAACTACAATGAAGAAGGAGGTAATGCAGCTCTGGTAAGTAACTAAGCTCCAAAATTCCACAGTAAACCAAGTTTCCTTAATTACCTTATTCTGCCAAGTTTAAATGATAAGTGAGTGAAAATTATTAAGCAACACTTTTACTTACTGGAACGTAATATTGGGCTTTAAGATCTTGTGCATATTTTCATAGAATGAATAATCCACATGGAGTGTTCAGTTTTATGTAATATTTTGTTTAAAAGATGAAAAATGAACACATTGTTATAAAGTGTTACAATAAAGTCCAAAGAGGCGCATAATTTTCTCTTTCCTACTCCTGAGGTTGGCTATAATGGAGATATTTTTAAAAGATGTGCATTTTTAATTCTCAATGTTCTTGACAATATGTAAAGCTAAATTAAGAAATCTTCCAATCAGTTCTCTTAAGTTAACAAAAATAAGGTCTTAGTCTTATTGTTAAAAACTCATTGAAGTTTTAAACTTACATACATGTTATGGGAGGTGAGATGGAGTTGGAAAAATGTTTAAGTCCATAAGAAAAGGATAGTTACATGTCAATGAACTTGACATCCTAGCTGTGCTGTAGCTCATGCAAACAGGTTGTTTCTCCAGGGACAATCACTTTAAACTGCAATCCATCTTTTTCCCGAGTGAGTGTTGTAGCACTTTTGGATTCTTTTATTTTTAGCAGTGTGCTCCCAATGCAGGATCTAGGTTGCTGCCATTAAAAATGACCACTGTGATTGAACAAGTGCACAGTTACACGTTTGACCTCAGGCTGATAGTGTACTGTAAAAGCTCTTGGTGCAACTTCAAAAAGTTTCAAACCAGAATTGGTTGTGAATGTGAGAGATAGTAGGAACTGCTGATGCTGGAGAATCTGAGATAACAAGGTGTAGAGCTGGATGAACACAGCAGGCCAAGCAGCATCAGAGGAGCAGGAAAGCTGACGTTCAGGTCTGGACCCTTCTTCAGAAA